TCTCTGGCCCCTATCTTCCTCGAGCCTGAAACCTGGAGAGGTAGAGAAGAATAGGAAAACCCTTTTCTATCTGCATCCAAAGTATGCTCTCTAGGCCAGCCTCACCTTTAGTGAAGCTATTATTTCGATCTGACTTATGTCTGTTCTGTTTGGGTAGAAAACTCAGTTGGAAGAGGAGGATTATTCCAAATCCCCAATACGTCATTTTTCTATTTTACTTGTTTTTGGTTTATTGCCCCTGGCTCTAGGATTGAACACTTGAGCCCCCAGGGGCTGATTAAAACTCTTTTGGAGCTATACTCACTCCTCTTTCCTCCAACATTAAGATGCTTTTTCAAGCAGGTGTGCTTTGAATCCTGATAAACATATTTTCTTCTTTGGAGGTTTCCTGACCCACCTCATCAGTCCTTTTGTGGGTTCTGAATTTTAGGGTGAGCTCAGTTTTACTCAACCCAGAAATGCTGCTACTCACTCCAGGGTGGTAATTGTTTGAGTGCAGTTTTTCAACTTCAAACTATTGACATTTTGAACCAGATAATTCTTTGTTGGGGGGAGGGGCTGTCACGTGGTATGTTTAGCAGAAATCTTGGCGATTCCTATAGCACTCTCGCCCCACTCTCCTACGCCTCAAATTGTGAAAACCAAAAATGTTTCCAAACATTGTCAAATGTTTCCTAGGGACAAAAATCATTCTTGATTTAAGAACTATTGTTCTAGAGAGAAACAGACCAGGTGAAGGAGGATCAGAGAAGTGTCTCAGTCTTTCTGGCAGGGTTAGTGTAAGCTTCTCGGGGGGGAGACAGAATTTAATCTGAGTTTTGTAGGATAAGAGTTACCTAGTCATCACAGAAAGAAGAGTTTTTAAGGTACAAACAAGGAGGTGTTCACGGCCCTCTGTGAGGTCTTCGTGACCAAAAAACGATACCACTCCTGTGTATGCCTTCGAACATCCTAGGGATTGCCTGCAGATGCCTGGCTCTTGCCAGTCTCATTTTTTCTTGTTCCATCTGAGTAAATTCCATGTCTCCATGTCCAAATTCTAACTTTGCTGACTACACTTGCTATGCTATGTACCATTTTGGAAAAAGGATTGGATTTCCAGAGTCAGATCCTCTAGAGGTGGATTACTTTCTCTTAAACATTATGTCTACATGTTGGATAGATTGAGGAAGTAAGTTCTACTGTGAGCTGCAAGTCTGAATACACTGAACCTGGTGCTGAGGAGAATTCTAGGCATCACTTCAGATCATCATACGGTGGACTGTGTCAGTTGTATAATCATGCACGAGAAGAGACCTACGTTCTACCTCACCTGGGTTGTGACTCATCCAGGGACATAATGAGCTAGGGGTGGAAGAGAAAGGAATCTGCATGGAGTGTGGGAGGAAGAAATTGGCATCCTCCTTCTCCAGTTGCTGAATTCCGGGGTAACACTGGTGGGTGGTGGGAGTCTCACAGCAGGAGTAAATGAATCACATGGAAACATCAATGAGTTTAGCCATTTATTAATACCACCCAATGGCAGGCTGTGATTACAATCTGGTTTTAAGTACTGAGGTACCCACCAAGGGACCCCTTAAGGAGGCTGGGCCTGGCCAGCACAGCACAGAGATGCAGGGAGAGCAAATGGGTCGGGCCATATACATTATACAACCACTTTGGAGGACAGTCATAGGTAGAACTGTGCTTTGCCAACTATGTGTTTTTTTTTTAAATGACATAATTTAAAATAATAATACTAATAATAACAATATTTGAATTTGCAATACAACAAAACAGGAGTAGCATCAAATATGTTGGCTAAGTTATAGCACCAGGCAATTCATGTCATGTGGTTTCTCCCCTGAAAGTGAATCGCTGTGCACTGAGCACCAGAAACACTGTCCCCTGACTTCATCGTAAAGTCAGAGGGAGAAGATCTAAGACCTGCAATCTCTGGGGTAGCAATATGTAGCTCTTAGAGTTTGAAGGATTTAAGCCAATTGATTGAGAAATTATGGTCTGAAACAATATAAATCGCTCAAATTTGCTTCAGAAACTTGATGAAAGTTATCAAAAACATTCACTAAATATCTGAAAGCACCACATTGGGATCATGCACCAAGAAAGCCCACCATCCAACAAGTCATTCCCACAAAGAGGCAATTGTAGTATCCACAAAATGATTTCCCTTTTTAGAAAAGTATTCACTAGTCTCTTGAAATAGTTTTCTCATGGTGCACTAAATTATGTTTCAATATTCAGAATTAAATTAACCCACAAGTTTTCAGAGAACGGTGAACTCTACCATGTGAAAGGCAATGTAAACCAACATGGGTTCGAGAACCTTGCTGTATTTAAGCACCAGACCCTGTGGTGGCCTCTCTGGTTCATGGTAGATGGGTATCCAGTGTGTCTTGCTACACCTCTCACTTGCTTATTCAAGGTGGGAAGAAAAGAGGACGTGTGTGAAATAAACCAATGATGCTGCTTTCGTGTTATCCCGTGAGCTCCAAAGAAATGGTGAAGACATTGTCTAGGTTCTTGTCTTCAGTCTCCCCTCTCTGATCGCAAACACAGGGACCTGTCAAAACCCCGATGATCCAAAGCTGAGTGATTGTCAAGGTAATGACTGTGTCAGATAACTCTAACAGCAAGGGCTATTTTTATCCTGGAGTCCAGAATGATGGATGTCACACAACTATCCCACAACGCAGCCTCCAAACAGGAAGGGAATGTGTGAGATGCATGATTAGGGGCTAATTTCTTGTCTTTGAGAAACTGGAGAAAGGCCTAGAATGGAGTATCTGGGCGGACCCTCCCCACATGTCTATCATCTTTACCACGTGGGTCATAAATAACGTGGCCCACTTTGTGTATTGGGAAATGTGGCCCAGCTGAGTTTGCTGAGGTCAGCAGGGATCTGGGTTTGTTCCTGAGTTTTGAAAGACTGGTCATATCCAGGTCTCTGATGACATGCATGAGCCTCTGATAGCTAGTACAGTACCAGGTGAAATAACTCAGCCCCAATGACAACATCCAGCCCCCTGGAAGCCCACACTCCACTCCAGGAACAGTCTTTGTGAACTGCCTCGTTAGAAAAAACCAGATTCTCCTCCACCACTCATGTCACTAACCATTTAAAGCTCCCCTCTCTAAAACTGTCGTTTCACCAGAGATTATCATCAGCCAGCAATGTTTGCCTTTAAAGACAGAGAATACAAGAACGTCATCTTTGAGAAATAAACTCCCTGGCTTCAGGTAAACATGTCTGTTTTCATCCTGTTTCTCTTTCTTAAGTTCCATCCCAACCCCAGTGTTTTATTTTCTACAGGACTTTATCAGAATAATACACATTAATGGCTTGAAAAAAAAAATAAAAAGCACATCATACAACAATGTTAAGCTTCTAGTGCCCAAGCAATAGAACTGGCATTGGCCAGCAACACCATTACATATTTAACGGATGTGGATAGACTTGCCCACTTGTACAAACACATCTATCTATGTGTTTATGTTAGTTCTGCCACCTTCTAGATACTAGCACCATTTTTCAATAGCACCATTCTGCTGAATGGATAGGTAATTCAAGGGAGCTAGGGGACACTGTGCTCCATGGTGAATAGTAACTGCCCTCTACCTGTGCATAAGTCTGAACTATGCTGCTCATGACATGAAGGCCCCATCCCTGCCTTCTCCTCTGTCAAGCGGCCCACCCACCCACCCATCCTCGCTCTCTGGGTTCAGTTCATGTAAATGCCTCCCCTTACAAACTAGGAAAGTTGCCTTGTATTTGAGACCACAGCCTCCTGATGGGTGGTGAGAACATCCAGAATAAGCATTTTCACGTTCATTTCACTATTTTGGACTCTCCTGACTTGGAGAACAGACCAAGGAACAGACCTTCAAAAGTAACTATTGGGTGTACTGGGGTCATGTTTAACCTCACTTTGAGTTGTGGGTTTTTTCCCTCAAGACTAGAAGTTTGTATCAAGTTCTTGTACTTAATACAGTTGACCTGGTCCTCTGAAATATTTTGATCTTGAGCTCCATCTTCCATCCTTGGGGTAGGTGGGGGTATGTCGCACCCATGGACCTGGCTATGGCAACTGTTGTGCAGGAACCCCCAGCAGTGGAAAGACAGTTGATCCTCTGAGTTGATGATTCAGGCAAGGAACACACTGGAGAGGAAGTCAGATGGGAAGACTCATCAGCTCTTCCCCAAAGAAAAGGTATTGGCCAGGAAAGTGGGAAGTATAAAGGTCCATGTTTCTTTTCTTATACCGGCAAGAAATTGATTTCTGTTCATTTCTTTTTAAGAGTTTTCATAGAAATTATCCTTGAGTCAGAAATGTCTCCCCTAGAATTAAGCTAAATCCCTTACCTTTACTAAATCCTACAGTTTCTGACCATTTCCTCTCATTTCTCGTGTCTCTAGGCAGGCACGAGAGTCTAAAGAGCCCAGATACCGAGTCTACAGGGGCTGAGTGATAATAGCCAACACTTTCTCTCCCTGCCCCAGCTGAGTGCTAGCTGAAGAAAGTGGCCCTCTGCCTGGGTGAATTAAAGAATGTTCCTGAAATTTCTCCCACGCATATTAAACAGCAGCTTCCCCAAGTAAGGAGGAAAAAAAGGATGATTTCACCAAGCTAAATTAACAAGACTGCTCCCTGGATGCATGTGGTTCTAGTTCCTGATACTCCTGAGGTAGTCTGGGAAAAATCTGGTGTCTTCATTTTTAGTTTTAAGGGAGGGAAAGACATCATGTCACTGACTTACCTAATTTGGCACCTTTCCCAAGAGCACATCCCAGGAGATGGCTGAACCTCCTGGATATCTCACCTGCCTATCAGGGAGCAGCAAGCATTACAGTCCCACGGCTTTTGCAAGGGCATTTTGTGGCTGATAAGACACAGGGGATTTTGTTTTGAGCCAAAGTTGGACCCGAAAAACCTCAGCAAAATGGTTTCCTGGGGCTGGAATGCAGTCGAGTCAGTCCCCGGGCTGCTGTAGTCTGTGGTGGGGGGTGGCTTCCTTCTGGACTTAGAATGCTTTGGGGTTTTTGAGCAACTGTGGCTTTCTTGGCCTTCGGGTGTGGACGATGTGTGTCTGGGAACATGAGAAGCAGCACTGAGCCCTCACAGTGGGCACAGAACATTTCTTCATGGTTTTTAGTGTTTGGCAGAAACTGGCTGATAAGTTGTCCTTGGTGCAAAGTAAATCTGTGGAAGGAGAGAAAAATAAGAAAAAAAAAAACCACAAAGATTATCCTTTGTAAGTGAATGAGCACAACTTCTATTAATGGAAGATGTTATATGTCTACCCAGAAAGGCTTCACAATAATTCATAGTAGCTGACACCCACTGAACAGTGATTATGTAACAGACACTGTGCAAAGTGTTTATGTTAAACTGAATTATCAGTCACAGTTCTTCACTACTGTGTAACAGTGTTATACACATTCCCACCCTTGCCATGGCTGCCTGGTGGGTGGTGAATACTTCACTGCTCGACTTTGGCTTCAGCCCAATACTTGCCTTGGACAATGTGATATCAGTAGAGATGATCCCTACGGGGCCTTGGGAGGTGCAGGGGGATGAGCCCGGCCTGATGAGCTTCTGCTGTCCCCAGGAGAAGGACCTGGTTTGCACAGCTAGTGGACTACGGAGGATGGGAGACACATGGAGCAAACCTAGACCGAACCTACGGCTGGCAGTCAAGGCCAACCAAGGCTAAGCTAGATTAGCTGAACCTTAGCTGACCTTCAGACGCTGAGCTAACTACACATGATTGTAGTTTTAAGGCCCTGGGTTTAGAGGTGTTTGGGTCTGCAGTATTGTTATGCGATAGTTGAACGCGATGTTTCACATGCATTGCTTCACTTAATATCCCCAGCAGTGCTATCAGGCAAATAGGAGTCTTTCCATTATACAAATGAGGACTGTGAAGCCTACAGAAGTTAAAAACCTGCACAATGTTACCCAGCTGGTAAGCAGCATAGCCAGAGCTAAACAGAGACAGTTTTATCAATCATATCATTCAAAGCACCAGACAATAACCCAGCTAGCTGACTAACCAATGGGTTCAGAGCAGAGCTCAGCAGAGCAGAAGCTACAGATAAATAAAATGTGATCACTGCCCTCCAGAAATGTACCACGTAGATGAAAGCATAAAACATACACAGATAATTCCCACAGTAAGCATCCGATGAGTTACCTGGATTCTAATCCTTGTTCTACTCTGAAACCTCTAGGCAAGTAAGTCCCTCATCCCCCCCACCCCACCCCTTGGCCTCATTTCCTCATCCAAGATGCAGGGAATTTCTCAGGGGTCCCCAGCACATACATTCTAGCAGCGGTACTCAGGTTGGACTGGTCCACGTACTCTTGGGCTGGAAGATATTCAGTAAGGCCCCAAAGAGCAGATTTTTCTTCTCTAAAGTGAAATTGTTTCAAACTTTGCCTGAGGGCCTCTCTGAGCTCTGGTTGCCTTGCTTTCTTCCTTACAGAAGAGATTTGAATAGTTTTGAAGAAAAACTTTTTTCATAGACTCCTGTCTTCTGTCAATAGGACTGGCAGTAAAAGTAGAGATTGAGGTACTATCTTCTACCCAAAAACTGTGCGAGTATTTTTTCCTCTTTCTGCCTTTTTTTCACCTTCCAGTCATGAAAGCAAAAAAAAAAAAAAAAAAAATGCTTTTAATCTCCTCATAGCTCATCATTCTCTCGATGGCACCTTGTTTTCCGCAAAGAAACAAATGTCTTCGGTTAGCTGTCAGAATCCTATTTTGTTTGCAGGTTCGAATGGCACTTAGGAATCGGTAACGCACAATGTTCCTAGAACCCAAAAATCTTCACTGCTGATTCTTTTATTCTTTAGGCCTCCTCTTTAAGCCTATTATAAAATCCAATCTCTCCTAAAATCCCACAGGAAAGTTTCTTCAGTGCTCTGTTTCAGAAGGAGTACACGTTTCAGCCAAGGATTCCTACTGGAAGAAGAATTTGGGCTCTTGGAGCTCTCCCACAGCTCCAAGAGGGCAGCTGGTGTTCTCCGTGGGGTCTGGGCCAGGCATCACGTGCGCTGGTATTCAGAACCAGGCAAGGATTCCTTTCTAGGCTGCTGGCTTTGGAACAGGACCAGCATGGATGCCTGGGTGTCACGGGCCTGCTCCAATTTCTTAGCCAGTGTCTCCTGAAGCCCTTGTGGAGGGCGGCTGGAAGAGGCGCATGTGGTGTAGCTCTCTGCCCCACGTCTTCCCTAACATGAGTATGGGAGTGCTCTGGGGCTACTTCAGGAAAGGAAGAAGACAGAGGAAGTGTGAAAGCTCAGCTTGCATCCCATCTCTTCATGAAGCTTCTCTTGGCCATGCTGGCCCACATCAGTCTCCAAACTTGCATTATTATTGTAATATTTGCTCAAACACGGCACTACATTCTATCTTGAACTGTTCTGTGAGTGGTGGTATGAGCCTTTTCTGATAAGGCTCTGGTGTGATCTCTCAAGGGTGTTTACCATTCTAAAAAGGGCTTCCTAGAGGCTCCCAAAGCCCTAACCTGTTGTGGGCTGAACTACATCCTCCAAAGTTTAAGTGTCCCCCAAAGTGGGAGTGGTACATGTGAATGTGACCTTATGTGGAAATATTTCTTTGAAGGTGTAATAATGATATAAATTAAGATGAGGCCATACCAGAATAGGGTGGGCCCTTAATCCAATATGACTAGTGTCCTGGAGGAGACACAGGTACACACAGTGAAGAGAAAGCCACCAGAAGACACTGACATCTGAGGGGAAGCTGGCCATGTGAGGACAGAGGCAGAGATTGAAGTGACCCAGCTACAAGCCAAGGAAAGCCAGGGATTGTTAGCAACCACCAGAAGCTAAGACAGAGAGCATGGCCCTATCGAGACTTTGATTTTTGAACTTCTGGCCTCCAGAACTGTGAGAATACCTTTCTGTTGCTTTAAGCTCTTTAGTTCCTGGTAGTTGGTTATGGTAGCCCTAGGACAGTAATGCACCTCCTCCCCTATGACAATAGTCATAACAGAAATACAACGTATTGAGCACTTACCCCATACCAGGTAATGTACTTACTGTATACCATCTCATTGGATCCATATAGAAATGTATCAGTAGGTATAGCTATTCTTTTAAAAACTGAGGGTTCCAGAAAGGCTTAGTAACTGGCCCAATATTGCATAGCTGACATGTAGCTGGTGGCTAGGATTTGGTTGTTGCTTCAGTGCCTCTAAAACTCTGCCACCAAGGGAATGAAGCTCTTGTACTGGCGATGGGGGAGGAGGGGGTCACATGGGCAGATTTTCCTTGAACACAGCATCTTCACTTGTTCAACATAGGCCCCCCAACTGGCAGGTCAGGTGACACCTACAGGAACAACAGAGGCTCAGCCACACCTGCTGTTCTTGCCTGATCTTGGGAACCATGGGATTATGAACACTGCTTTTTTTTTTTTTTTGAACCCTGCTTTTCAATGGTCCTCGGAGCCCTGGGAGCATGCTGGGTCTTGCGGTCCTCCTGTTCGAGAGTGGGGGACTTGAAGGAAGAACGGATAGTGGTGGCCTAAATTGGGAGCCTGTGTTCCAGGCCCATGTTTAGAAGCTCATTTAGACAATGACCATGAGCCTAACATCGTGGCATGGCTTGACTGCACAGTTCTCTTTATTATTATAAAACAATGAAGGCTTGTTGTGTTCATCAGCAAACTGGATCCCAGCCGAAGCACACACAATGCTTATAATTAGGGGCAACTTGGAGAGGAGATCCCAATTTGCCTCTGCCAGTTCAACAGAAACCAAGCTTGGAAATTTAAAGGGACAGTTAGAAGCCTGTTTCTTTGTTGTCAGCTGTGTCTAGGTTGAAAGGATAATATTTTGCCCACAAAAGAAAGTTGAAAAACAATTTCACTATTGCTGACAAATACAGTTTCTGTAAGAGTTTGGGTTCCTTGAGGCCAGGGGCTGTATTATACTCATTTCTGTATTCTCACTTTTTAGCACTTGTCTGAGATGTATCTTGTGATTCCTTATATTTGCTGAATAAATGAAAACATGAAATCCTATTCATCTGGAAGAATATTCCTGAGTAGAAAGTTTGCTGACTCAAATGTTCATTTGTAGCAACTCTGGGCCTAGGTAGTGTCTTTATTACTTTCCTTATTCTTTCTCTTGCCTTCTCTACCCCTCATTCCTTAAAACAAACAAACAAACAAAACAAAACAAAACAAAAAACCCCAGGAATGGTGTGCGTAAGAGTTTTGCTTTTGTTTTTTAATCATTATGAGTGTAATGCCTAGAATATACCCGATACTCAGTAAATATTTCTGGATAAAATAAAAAAAAATTTTTTTAACCTACTTAGGGTTTTACAGTCTCTACTTTGGAAATGGTAGTTCTGATTTAGAATTTAAATCATCAACAACTTAGATGGCATCTAAAGGAAGTAAAATGGCCTGGAGGAAAGCAAGCCTCACGCGGAATTCATATCTGATCTTGTAAGATGTACAGAGGGCATATGTTTATTGTGACGGCTAGCTGGCTGACAAGGTTCCAGGCACTGAATGATTTATTTTCAAAGCATTTCAGAGGGCACAGGGGTAAGGGTGGGTGGTGGGTTTTTAAAAGCAAGGAATTTCTTGAAGCTGCTCTTCGTGTTGTTTCTATATGAGTAAGCATGGCTCTGCCTTCAGGAGAGCTAGTAATTAACTTCTGTTGCTCTGATAATTGTTGATGAGTGGAATTCATTGCTGTTTACATCTGTTGCCAGTCAGCTGTTAGTCATCATCTTGACAGTGTGAGATTTCAAGAGAAAAAAATACCAAGTATACATTTAACCTGGTTTTGATTATTGAAGATTGCACCGTCCAGCAATAAAACAGTTAAAGACTATCTACGTAGACTTTAACAGGCCGTAACACTGGGCATGGTCAAACAGGACTAGATTGCTGCAGTCTCCCAAGTGGTCTTCCTTGTCTATCTTCCACATGGCAGCCAGCATGGCTTTCTCATCCCCACACCCCTGTCTGGAATATTCCAGTGCTCCTTCTGCACTGGGGATAAAGTCCAAACTCCCTGGCATGCTTCCAAAGCTCCAGCTTTTCCCTCCAGCCCTACCATTCTTAGCTTCCCATGACCTTCATACTTGAGTTAGACTCCTGTGCATGACCTTGTATTCTTCCCTGATTACTGCAGAAACTGAAGGCCTCTCCAGGAACCTCCTGTCTGACCTGCCTATTCACCCTTCACTTCGTCTGCAGACCTTCCCTGCTCTCCCCAGTTTACGGTTAATGCCCTTTCCAAGAACTCTTGTAACATCCTTACCTCCCTTATCAGTGTCACTGGGTTGCAGCTTTGTTTCTTGTTTGACATTATATTTACATGTAGTCAGTCAGGGCCCAGCAAATATCTGCTCAGTAAGTGCATGATCTGTCAACAAGCAACCTCTAGGGAAAATCTTCTCAGGGTATGAACTCTAATGGCATCTCTGTTGAACGCCAGCACCCTCAGTCCTTGGAAGGAGGTGAGGAATAGATTAACAGACCACAGCCTTCACTACCTCTCATCTTGAAGAATCTTCAGAACACAACTACCACTGTGTACAACCAACATGCTGGTTTTCAAGAGTTTTTCACTTAGCTGCTGATGTCTAGTAGTCAGTTCTTTAATTAGGGGCAGAGTAAATTCAACCTGACCCTCTAAATCCCAGTCTCGGGACTACATCTATAAGAGGCATTCTTTACTTCGTAACAGATGGAACTATCAAAAAATCCTCTCTCCCTGCCTGAAAACCTTCTCTCTAGGTTTTTAATTTAATAAAAAAAAAAAAAAAATCCTCACATATCAGTGAAGCCCCAAATACCAATGGAATGGACATTAAAATTCATGTTTGAACCCATTCATAAATGGATAAGAAAACTATAGTCTACTGAAATGAATAGTTGCCCAAGGAAGGTAACTGAACTGGTTTGTTGATGGAATTTTCTTTTTTCTTTTCAAACCTACGTAATACCTGGTATTTAAAATCTTGACAATACCTTTGGAAGGCTTGTGTTATTATTCTCCTTATATCCAAAAGGAAACAGGTTCAGAGCATTAAATATCCTGCCAAGGGCGCCTGGGTGGCTCAGTTGGTTAAGCGACTGCCTTCGGCTCAGGTCATGATCCTGGAGTCCCGGGATCGAGTCCCACATCGGGCTCCCTGCTCGGCGGGGAGTCTGCTTCTCCCTCTGACCCTCTTCCCTCTCGTGCTATCTCTCATTCTCTCTCTCTCAAATAAATAAAATCTTTAAAAAAATAAAAAATAAATATCCTGCCAAGGTCACGTAGATAGAAAGAGGCTGCTACGAAATGCACACCCATTGCTGTCTGATTCCAACACTGGATTCCTTCCACCCCCGAGGAAGTGAGGCATGGGAGGGAGAAGGAGACCTGGCCTGGCACTCTGGCTCTGCAATCGGCGCCCCCCCCCCCCCCCCCCGTAGTTCAACATACTTAACATGACAAAGGTGATCAGAAGTCATTCAACTTGGGATGCTTTCTGAAAGTGGAGGGTTGAATGTAGCAGACAACACTGATGCTTCCCTGTTCAGGTCTCCCTCCTTAGATTTGTTGCTCCGTTTTCATGTGTCACCCCCGACACCCCAGTTCCAGCATCCCTGTTCTTTAGCCACTAATACCCAGAGACCCTGGCTCTTTTGGAGGATTGCCCACAGAGCCTACTGGAGCTGGTTTGTCTCTCCATGTAGAGAGCTTTTAACACCTGTGAATTCCCTTCCGCTGGGGTAGCCCTTGGCCCATGGTTGAAAAGTGTGGGAGTGTGAAACTCCAGCTCCCGGGCCTCAGGAGCAGACGGCTCCGACCCATGGCTTACACCCCGGAGCTCCCCTGTGGGACCAGGCTGAAGCAGCTGCCTGGCTGTGCTTTCTCCCTCCTCTGTTCTGCTTCCCCTACTCCCTTCATGGTTTTCCTCGGGAGCACTTCTGAAATGGATCCCTTGCACCCAGATCTGCACCTCAGAGCTGTTTCTGTGGAACCTGATCTAAGCCAGTGGTGCTGCATCGACAGAGAAGGCCGTTCAGCCCCTGACTGGTTTCCTGAGAAAGGCTGGCACATCTCTCAGAAATCCCTGAAAAAGCAGAAGTGATTCTCATCTGTGTAGGATGACGTCAGTGTGAATGCGCTCTGAGGTAGGAAAATGGATGAATAACCCCTCAGGAATTAGAGTCAAATCTCACCAAATGGACAGCTTGCTTTGAGTGGAGCTGGCTGGCCTCTTCAGCATAAAGATTCCTGGCGCAAAACAGGGGACTAAAACTAACCACATCGATTCACACGGGACACCTTATTTATGAAAAGCTCTCTCCCCAGCCGGCGAAGTCATTCACCCACCAACACTCTTCTTGCAGGCCTGCTGGCTGCATTTCCGGAATTCTGCAGGTCTGGGTTCGTGATCACACACGCATCGGTCTTCGGTCGTACTGTCCTCTGAGGAGACGCAATGGACGGTCCTCTTCTGAAAGCCACCCCCACAGGAAGCAGTGCACTGAAAGAGAGGGGTGCGCGGAGAGTCACAAGTCTTCCCCAGTGGCACCATGAGGGCTCTAGCGGAGCCTCTAAGGCCGCCGTGCTCAAGTAGGGAGAAGTCTCCACTATCAGGAATCATCTTGAAGGGGTCAGAGAATAAAGCACTAGTCATCTGGAGATGTGAATTTAGGAGGAGTCTGTATTACTGACTGTGGACTGAATTTGGCTTAATTTACTATGGGGTTCTCTGAAGAATGTGGATGAAGGTTGAACAGCAAGAAAAATAGAATAAAATTTCGTATCTAGGCCCCGGTGCCTCAGGAATCCAGTTTCTCTGAACTCGTTTTGATTTGCGGCTGGGAATCAGATGTGAGGAAAGAGAAATGGGAGAAGAAAACCATGGAGAAATGGAGAGAGAATGTGGAATGGGCCCGGCTGGCCCATGTGTGGCCCCAAGCCACAGAGGTAACATGGAACCCCAGTGTCAGGAAGTGGCGGCCTACCAGCAGAAGGGAGGTTCTCTGGCCTGCGAAAGCAGCTTAGGATTCCTGGGGATGTGAGAACATGTGTCTGAATTTATCACATATACTTGTGAAAAAAAAAAAAAAGTATTTTTATTGTGTATACCTATAAAACATAAAAATTCGGTATTTTAACCATTTTTAAGTATACCGTCCAGTGCCTTAAGTGCATTCTCGCTGTTGTACAATCATCATCTCTATCCATCTCTAGAACTTTCTCATATTTCCAAATTGAAACACTGTTCCTGTTAAATAAGAGCTCCCCATCTCCCAGCCCCAGCCCTAGCCCCTGGCAACCACCATTCTATTTTTTGTCTCTATGAATTTGACTATTGTAGTTACCTCATATAAGTGGGATCATACAATATTTGTCCTTTGGCCCTTGCTGATTTCAATTAGCATAATGTCTCCAAGGTTCCTCCGCATTATAGCATGCGCCAGAATTTCTTTTAAGCTGGAATACTATCCATTGTATGTTTATACCACACTTTGTTTATCCATTCATCTGTTTGGATACTTCCAAACTGTTGCTTCCACATTTTGGCTATTGTGGACCCCACATACTCTAATGATTAACATCTATTTCGTGTTTTATTACTTTTAGCCTTATCTTTCTTATATAATCAAAACCTCCCAGAGGGCAGAAACCAGTAAGAAATAACTACTGAGCTGATCCTGAATAAACAAAAGTGTGCAACAGAGGACAGCGTGAAGAACAAGGGAAATTAATCAAGCCAGAATTTGACAAAGAGTACTGGACCAGGATTCCAGAGATGGGCTTTTCCATTTACTTCATATTGTCCTGGATCATTCGCTCAACTTCTTTCTTTCTTTCTCTGTAAAATAAGGTTGTTAGATAAAGAACAAATGACTTCCCTTCCTGCTTTCTGCTCCTAAGGGTCTGATGGAGCCAGGCTGGGCTGGTCCTGGGTGTGGAAGTCCTCCTGGCCCTCTTGGGCAGGGCAGATTAAGATGAAAGAACTAATTCCAAGCCAAGCACAAAAATAAGCAGAGAGGTCACTGTCCATGCATTTATTAGTCAATGAAAACGACTTGTGATAAAGAAGATGCATGAATTTGAGTGGTACTTAATTGGAGGATTAAGCATGGTTGCTAATTTGGGTTCTGTTAATAGTAGTAATGCTGTGAGTTGGGGGTTTTAGAGAGAAGGTGCACCTCTCTGAATGCTCAGTTCCACTTCTTTGGAAGCAGCAACAATAAGGAATCTTTGTGTAGAACTGAGCATCCCAAAATAGGGATGGGGCTAAGGCTGATTAGCTGAACTCCACGCTAGTCTCACTCAGTCCTGGATGCCCTGTCCAATCAAAGCGCAAGGGTTCTCTTCAGCTTAAACTGTTCTGTTTGGAAATGTTGATTCTCAGGATTCAGCAGATGATCGGCAAAGGTTCACCCTGTGGGCAGCTATAAAACTCTGGTGTTGCTGCCACTCAAACAACATGGATGGAATGGAGAAATATGAAGAGGAGGAACATTAGATATTTTAGAACTAATGCAAGCATCTTCACTGAATAATTTTCTTGCACTTACTACTAATTCCTGGTAGACACAGTTCTAAGTGCTCAGGAGATATCCTTGAGTTCAGTCCCAGTAACAACCATGTAAAGTCAGATTTGTTTTCTGCTTTTGCTGGTGTAGAAACAGGTCCTCCGCTCTCCTGACTTTCCTTTTTCTTATAGCATTTAATGGGCATGGAGCCTCATGTTCTCCAAATCTGGAGAATTTTCTTCTATCAATTCTTTGCCTGCCTCATTTCTATTCCATCCCCACTCTCCCTTTCTGGAATCTTATTTTGATGTTATGTCTCCTGGTCTGCTCCCCTACGTTTATCTTTTATCATATTTTCTTTTTGTCTTTGTTCTCCTTGAGAGATTTCTCCACATTATTTTCCCAATCCTTATACTTACATTTTTACTTTTGCTATTATAAAAATTTTTAAGTTTTTCTTATGTTCTCTGAATATTTTTGTATAGCTGTACTAGGAAGCTATGTCACGGATGTAGTCTCTTGTTTCTCTGAAGAGAGTATAGTTTTTGGCGGGGGGGAATTCGATGTTTCTTTCAAGGTCTCTGTTCCTTGGAGTTTCTTTTGTTCTGTGTTATTTTGTCCTTGGTATGATAGATTTTTTTCAAATGTCCAGTAATCCTAGGCTATTGACTTAAGATGAGGTACCTACGAGCTGACGGGAAGTTTCATGTGTGGCAGGTACTGACAGGTGCTTTATATAAGGTGATCAGGAAGAGATCTATTATGTGGGGTTTTTTTCTCTTGGGGCTAACCCAGTCCACTGCCTTTGTGGAGCTCTGTTGGGGGAAGGACACTATTTACTGTGTGTATTTTCACTTGATCATTGGTGAGATAAGCTCTTTTGTCCCTACCAACCGGGACTGATTCCAAAGTCTCTCTTGGTTTGCTTCTCCAGTGAGAAGACCTCCAGGCTATGGTCAGGATGTAGGAAAGATCTAAAGATCCAACTGCCTCTCTTCATAAACTTTCAAGCAACTCCATCCCCCCCGCCCCCCCCCACACACACACTGCTGCCTCAGAGGTACCTGGGAAATCTCTGCTATTCTACAGTTTTCAGCTTTCTCTGGCATGCTAAGTCAACTGTAAGTTTGGCTATCTGCTTCTAGCTTCCAAAATTTTATTGACTCCTTCTCCAATACTGTTTCCTGTCCTCTTGTCTTTGTGGATTTGTGGCACTTTTAAATTTTTTTATCTCTTCTATTGAATGCAGTTTGGGGAAGAGAGGCAAATATATATGTTCAACCCATCCACATGTGTTACCTGGGCTCTATAATTTGCCTTTTTCACTTAATAATAGGTGTTGGAGGTCAAGAGCAATTCCCAAAGCTGGCTTGGTAGGTGTTAGCCACTCTTCATGTCCCCTCATCTTTGATATGCACAATTGATGGACTTTTGACACATGGCTCTTCCAGGGAAACTTTAACTCATGTCCACCTCCAAGAGGCAGTTACCTCTAACTCTCTCTAAAGCAATTTTGAACTTATGCTGTTAGAAATTTTTACAACTCAGAAATATAGGTCTACCTCATTCTTAAAAGGGCTATACTATAATAAATTAATAGATTGACCAGTTCTATCAGAGCAGATTAGGTTATTTATAGGAATTGCTATTACAAACAACACGGCAATGAACATCTTTATCATCATCTAGGATTCTGTTTGATGATGTATTTGTGGGCTAAATTATTATAGGTAGAACTGCTGAGTCAGTCTATGTATTTTAAGTTTTTCACTGATTTTAATGCTTTCTGTTCTAACTCCAGACAGATGATTATAACTGAAAAAAATGTACTGGAAATTGAAGAACAACCACCACACAAAACCTTTTACAACCTGAATGCTACCTAAGTGCCAAAATGAGAAGCTGACTGCACTCTTACAGGCAAAGGGGGTGTTTTTGATAATTTCCTCTTCTCAGTGAGTTCCTTAAGAGCAGGATATGCTTCACACGTCATTACTGTAATATTTTCTGGGCTATCATTATCTTTCTTGCCAGAAAGAATATCGTTCAGCTTTCCTTTACAATGAATAATAAGGTACTAGAGCCTCAGGGAATCGACAGACTTAAAAATGTCCATCTGTAGTTGTTAATCTTCTATGGGATTTTGTTGTGTTCCTTAATGGGGCCCACATTTTTAACATTTTCATGATAGTTCATGTTATAGCAAGTATTTTCTTCTAATGGTCATATATGATTTGCTTAGTGATCCTTATATTGTTACCCAAGGTTCCAAGGTATTTTTCTTTTAAGATTTTATTTATTTATTTGAGAGAGAGAGAGAGCATGGTGGGGGGAGGGTCAGAGGGAGAAGCAGACTCCCCACTGAGGGTGGAGCCCAACACAGGGCTCAATCCCGGGACTCCGGGATCGTGACCTGAGCTGAAGGCAGGTGCTTAACTGACTGAGCCACCCAGGCGCCCCCCCCACTCCAGGGTATTTTTGGAAAAGCCTAATCCCGAAACACACATTTATTTGTTGGGTTTCATCTTTTTTTTTTTTTTAAAGATTTTATTTATTTATTTGAGAGAGAGAGAATGAGAGAGAGAGAGAGCACGAGAGGGAAGAGGGTCAGAGGGAGAAGCAGGCTCCCCGCTGAGCAGGGAGCCCGATGTGGGACTCGATCCCAGGACTCCAGGATCATGACCTGAGCCGAAGGCAGTCACTTAACCAACTGAGCCACCCAGGCGCCCTGTTGGGTTTCATCTTAAAGGTTCTGAACTCAAGGATGGATGAAGAAATTTGGTTTTGGAGTAATTGAATTTCTAGGGAACAGAAAATGAAGTCATTTTCCAAGGGAGATATTGTAAGATGCCCAAATATAAAGTGATTAAATTACATTTAGATGAAAAAAATTACAATTGCACGTGACATTTTCCACTGTTCACATGACCCATGGGGACAGGGTGAAAGCTGGGGGCTAGCCCTGGCAGACAGCTCAGTGGAATGCATAAACAAAAGCTTGCCCTGACACCGGTATCTCCTTTGGCAATTCATGAATCAACATTAGATGCCAGTGAAAATAGGGAATTCACAGAAAGTACTATGTGCCCTGTCTACCTAATGAAGTGGCTGACATCATTTTTCCTTGTCTCCTGGATATTTTGTAAGCTATGAAAATAATAAACGATGCATTTTTTATATTTCTGCAGGCCACACGATTCATGTACAATGTCCCTTTAGCACTAATGAATCATCTTGTTCTTCCTGGATTCAAGTGGGTGATAGTCAGAGACCAGCACAACCTTGAGTTGGATGTGCCAGCAGAAGCCTTTCTCAAGAACACATGCCAGCCTGTGAACCGGTCATGGGCATGCAGGAGCAACCGCACCACTCTGAACAATGAGAATCAATAAGGATATAGCGGCTTCAAAGTATCTGGGGGCATTACATTTGGCAAAAATACTGCATTGGCCTGTGTTATAACTATCAAAATATACAAGAACAAACTACTTTAAAAAATATTAATAGTTGAGGGATTTGTGTATCAGATCCTCTTGCCTACCCCCCCCCCACCTCCCCGTCTCCCAGTTGTTGGCCTTTGATCCGTCCCCGCTGAGGTGGTAACCAACTTCAGGAAGGCACAGCCCAACTCACTGGCCTGCTCACCATGTCCATGCTGTGTGCCTCTCACCTCCCGACTCTCTTCTTGTTGAGACATGAGACATGGTGGGGCCTGCCCAATGCCCACACATGAATAACCCCGGACAACAGGGGATATTAGTCATCTGAGAGGAGACTTTTTACCCAATCCCAAGAGATAGGAGCCAATAGATCATTTCCTCCCTTCCTGCCCCTGGACAAACTACCCTAAGAGGAGGTAGTTCATACAGCTTTTAGAAGGCCTTCTTTTGAGAGCAAGCAACCAGTTGTTCCTGACCCCGAGCAGTGGTCAGTTAGGACACGTGGTCAGTCTGGTAACGTATCACTCATATTCGTTTCCCCTCCTTCCCTGTCTCCCTCCTCTTTCCCATCATCCCTACGTCCTTGACATTGTATTTCCTAATAAAGTTTTAGATTTGGCCTTAAGACTCTATTTTCTAGAGAATCCAGGATATGACAAATCAGAGGGATGGCACAATCTGTCTATGGGAGAATTTTCTTTGTTGTCAGTGTCACTGATACAGTTACTTACATAACAAGTAAACTCTGTGAGGACAATCAATCTTTCCCTCATTTGCAGTTTAATTTTTTGTTTGTCTCTCCATCCAACAGGCTGGCCATCTGGCAAGCTGATCTGCGGGTTGACAAGATCTGAAACTCACAAAATCAGGCTAAGCCTCAAGCTTCAGGGCATATCCACTCCTGATTGCTTCAGGAAAAGCCCCAGGATCCAAGGTATTGGGACCCAAAATTGCCTTTCCTTAGGTTTTTGTGCCTCTGGGATAATATTGGTATTTGATCTGTTTTCTTTTGATAGTATTTGAACTTTTCTCTTCTGAGCTCAAGACAGTAAACATTGAACCACATGTCAGTTAAGGATCAACTTTTAGCAGACTTAGAGGTGTGGATGGCAGAAGAGTACCCGAACTAAAATATGTAGAAACCCTCTGTAAATCAATGGGGACACTGAACATTGACAATGAATGTACCTTACCTTTGAAATCAAGAGAAAAAAATGCTATTTTTTAAAAGACTAAAGTAAATGGAAGGGAATATAACCGACTCTTACCAGGTCCCAGTCTCCAGTGGCCCAGTGACAACAGGGGTGGCTGTTGCAGGGCACCGTGGGCGTGGGCCTTTCCGTCCAGTCACAGAGGCCTCCCGGACAAGTCACGGCTCTCTCCTGAACTCCGCCTCCACAGGACCTGGAACACTGAGGTAGGGCAAGGACACGTTTAGGTAAAAATCACCTGACGACATTTGCAGTGATCAGGGAAGACCTTCTTATTATCATTTTTGTTGTCTACAGAGCTATTAAGAATACCAGTGTCTCTACTGGAATTTGCGCCAGGGTCCTCGTGATGACCGCATAACAGCGATGAAACAAAAATTAAAGAGAGAGAAGGAAATTAATAAAGGGCATTCTGAGGATATGAAGAGGAGAAAAAAAAATCAGAAGATGCTACATAGTTCAATGTAAAACAGTATGTCACACAGAAGGAATTCTGGTTAAAAACCTAAATGAGTGGTCATTCCAGAATGGACGTCATGCTATTTGCATTCCGACTTCTAGCACAAGTATCTAGAAACCAGAATGTAAAATGTAGGTGTTTTCATTATGATTAGCTCCAACAGTCCAAACAGGGAGCACACATTTGCAATAGAATTTTATTTCCTCTTAAAATGGGATTCAGTCTTCCTTACCTACTACAAAATGCTTTAGAATTAAATTTGTCCATACTTGGAATAGGGGAATTGATGGGTTTGCCCCAGGGTCTGATCCACTGACTATAATGCTCACAAAAACAAATTTGAGATGACAAGCTGGATTCCTAAAGTGATACAACTCTAAAACATGTCAGGTTTTTGCTCACTAATATAATTTTATAAGATCTACTGTCTCATTTTCCTAAGGTTTCTAGAAGGAAATTACATTATCCACTAAGAATCTTTGAAACATAACATAATAAAATTTTAAAAATTAAAAAGAAAGTACTTTTAAAAATCTTAATTATGGTATGGCAACAACAACAGCAACAACAAAATAATTATGGTTGGCAACATCTTGCCCATCACATCAGGCACGACGTTGAGTGGTGGTGCCATAGAAAACAGGATAATTACATGCAATAAATGCTTTCTGCTCAATAAAAGAACTATTCTATTGCTTTCACGATATTCCAACTTTGAGAATCAACATGGATTTTTTTGCATATTTGTTGTTTTTAACCCTACATGAGGAGAGGGATTCCCCCACTTGAGATCATCATACCTACACGTGTGCATATATTCAGGGCCACCTGGCCACATAATGTCCAGGAAAGGAGGTGAAGAAAGTACAAACCAGCGGTTCTCCAAGTGTGGTCTCCGGACCAGCGACTTTAGCATCTTCTGGGTACTTGTTAGAAATGCAAAATTCAGGCCCCACCCCAGACCTCAAAATTGGACACTCTGGGGGTGGGATCCAGGCATCTCTGTGTTGACAAACCCTCCAGGTGATTCTGAAGTGTGCTAAAATTTGAGAAGCTCTCCTGTAGAGACATCCCCACAGCAGAAATGCTTCTTCCATGCTGGAAGGCTGGGCTGGCTGACAAAGTGAAGGGGCCCACAATATTCTCATGATGGTAGTCTGCTAGTATGTACAGACAAAGTAGCATCATGAGTAGTCAGGGTAAAGCACCTAAGGGTTCCCAGACTCTCAAAAGCTCCAGCGAAGTACTCAAAATGATTTTTGCATTTTCCATCTCCCTCAGAGGGTAGTCTTCCAACTGTGTGGTTTGCTCACACAGAGTACAACTTCAGAAAAGAGGGTGGTGGGAGCCCTTCAGGGAACAGCTCCTGGCTGGGGCTCCCAGAATACATCTTTTTCAGAGAGCAGATCTGATGGCTCATCTTTAAAAACCTACAGTTGCATTTCTCTACAAGGCTCCTCTGCAGATTCCTGGATTCTGAAACCTGTCACCAGGCTCATCATACATGGATGGCTTGGAGGCGCAGGTCCAGAGTGTGGGAATAGCAGGCACTTTATGTGCCCTAGAGCTGAGCAGGGAAGGAGGAGAAAGAAGGGACAGTGGTAGCTGCTGCCCCAGAAAGCACCAGGTACTGGCCCAGAGCCTCAGGAATCAGCACGGCTGCTTCACATGTAGACGGGAAGTGGCTTGGGGTGGGGCAGTCTTCTGTAAGCTTTGACACTCTGTATCCTATACTTGCGGTTCACCACCTTCCTTTCCAGAGCAGGTGGACGGTTTGGTCCCCCCCCCCCCCACCCCCCCAAACAGTTACTGATTCACTCTTTCTCCTTAGTTCACTCTTTGTTCGATGCCTACTGGGCAAATTGCTACGGTACAAAGAGCACAGGCACTGGAGTCTGCCTTGTGCTGAAACTGATGTTCCACCATTTATTTTCTAGTTGTGTGAACGCATGTAAATTTCTTAGTCTCTGAATCTCAATTTCTTCACCTATACAATGAAATTAATAAAGCCTATTATTCGGGTTGTTGCGAGAATTAAACCAAGTGTTGTAGGCAAAATGCCTAGCCCACAGACACACTCAAAATATGCTGGGTTCCTTTTTTTTTCTTCTTTCTACCACACATGGATATGGCTGGGAGTAGTTTTTGGGAGCTATTGATGTACTTGCCTATTGGCAAATGAGAAGAACAGTCACTTTCCGTTCATGTGCTGTCGTAGGACAAAGACCTAGCAGAGCCTAGGCCCTCACAAAACAGAGGACAGACACATACAGGCACAAACACACTTCCTTTTATTTGTATAAACAATGATCCGGGCATTGAACTGAGAGGTGGAACTCTAAAATATACTGTGTGTGGAAAGGAGCTGGCCATGACCCCCAGCTCAACTAGGCAGAGGCCTAGCAGAGGGATGTGAGACTCTGCCCTCAATGGCTCTCCTCAGAGTGGTCTGAGTACATTCCCCCAACATGGACCCCAATTGTGCCCAGTATATCCATAGGGAACCTGGGTTGTGCTAAAACACTGCATTGTCACAGCTGAAACCACACAACGTAGTCTTTAGGTTGACCTGTTCGGCCTCCTCCAGACAGTGCTGGGCCACTGAGTGGAGGCCTGTCATTGTCACGATGCACGGGTGGTCTTCCCTGACCTCTAGACTCGCAAGGTAACATAGAGATTCACATTTGCCCGGGTCTGTGGACGATGTATCTGGAGGCCATACCTGGCTCCAGGGCTCCACACACCACTCCTCACAGGGCGCCACGTTGCAGCTCATGCTCCGTGGGGGACGAATGCCGGCCAGGAACTGGCAGTGAAACGGCCTCAGGCTGCGGTGGTCCCGGCTGTCCACACACTGGATCTCCCGGACCCGGAAGCCCCCGCTGCAGTTTCTGGAGCACTGCATGGAGAGGGACACAGGAGGGGATACCTGGGTCCCTGGCGCCAGGCTTCCATTCCCCTGGATTCCAGGGGCGCTTGCAGGGAGAACCGTGGAGTTCCAAGGCTTCCAGGCACAAAGGAGGGTGAAGTCTAGCTCAAGTGAGCTGTTTCCCTCACAGGCCCTGGAGAGGGAGTCACTCAAGCAGCAACCAAAGATGGGGCCGCCCATGTCAGAAAACACAGGTGGGGAGGTCTAAGAACTGGGTGGCAAGTCCCGTTCTGTCACTCACTTGTCATGAGCTCTTGGGCAAGTCACAGAAACATTCTGAGCCTCAGGTGTCATAATTGTAAACTGGGATATAACTGCATCTCCCAGGGCTGTGGTGAAGACCACAGAGCCTGGCGTCGGGTGTCTGCAGGTGCAGGTCTGCCTCAGTGGGCAGCCTGTCCCTCTGGTGTGTCGTCATCCTGGGTGACCGAGGCTGCCCACACGGGGATGTCTCTGCCAAGCCACACCCATCTCTCCCTCAGAATCCTGCTGAAAACCTGTTTGCTCCGTGACTCTGAAGGCAGGATGGGCTGCCCTTTGTCAAGTGAAGGGCCTATATGAGGGAATTAATTGGAATAACTGCTCAGTGGTTTGACTCATGGGAGTGAGCAAACCCTGTGCTTGTCCCTACCACCATCCTTCCTCCCACAGCCAACATCCCCTGCCTTCATCACTGAGAGTTTGCTCAGCACAGGCTCATGGAAAGCCATTACAAGGCCCTCCTCACTGCCCGCCTCCCACATGCCGACAGCTTGCATAGCATCTCCTGCATCCTGCTGGCCCATGTGACAAGGGACAGATTGATGCTCTAATGCTTCCATAAATTGAATGTTTAGCTTCTTAAAAATAAATGACACTTGCCAAACAGCACCCCCCCACACACACAAATAAAAAACCTCACTTTCCTGGGCACCTGGGTGGCTCAGTTGGTTAAGTGGCTGCCTTCGGCTCAGGTCATGATCCCAGAGTCCTGGGATCAAGCCCCGCATCAGGCTCCCCGCTCAGTGGGGAGTCTGCCTCTCTCTCTCCCTCTGCCCCTCCCCATCGCTCATGCTCTCTCTCTCTCTCTCTCTCTCTCAAATAAATAAATAAATAAATAAATAAATTTTTTTAAAAACCTCACTTTCCGGCCATTTGGTAAGTGCACAAAGTAAAAAGTAACTGTCAGTTTGAAATCAGCCACAGAGCGAATGAGGAAACATGCTAATAATTTCCACACAAAGCAGCCCTTCATTTGACAAAACAGATTTCTGGGAAATAGCACGTGATAAAGCAACAGGGCTCTGTATTAGGACAAGGGAATTTTACAAGATGTAAGTATGAAATGAGATTTTATTTTCCTATTTTTCATTTGTTGCTGCAATCTGTTATTTCAAAATTTAATTTTCAAATTAGCATTCCCCTTTGTTATTCATTCAATGGGAAATGAACTTTATTAATATGCTGAAATAAACAATGGAAGACACTCACTAAACCATGACTTTTCCATTCCATTTTCAAAACAGCCTCTTGTTCAGTTAGCAAGAGAGAAGGGGCAGGATATTAAATCACTCCTAATGCTGTTCTGTTTGTATGCTGAATGCCAATTATTATATTCATTTTCTTACTGCCCTAGAGGACAGTCATTTGGATTCATGTTTTCCTAACCTGGAGCCTGTGGACCAGACTGAGGACAGAAGTCAGACTAGAACAAAAAGCCTGGCCAATGCCCTACTGTGACCAAAAGTGCTCATTTTCCAGTTACCACCTCAGCTCAACTAGTGTGATCTGCAGACCAGATCAAGTTAGAATGAAAAATACCCTTAGCTTATAGGAGCCACTGGAAGAGAAAATGAAATCACAATTCTCCCTTGTGTTGTTCTGATTTACAAAGTCATCCTGATACACGTTCCATGTTGGACTCACACAGGGTGTTCAGTCAAGAATAGTGAAATGCTCGAGCATAGCGTTGGGAGGTCGGTAGACTGCACTCCGGTGTGATCCTGACAGCAAGTGGTTACCTGACTGTGGGTTAACCACCGCTCGTCTCAGCCTCTGTTTCTCCATTGGTGTAGAAAGGTTAAACTAGATGATTAGACTATCCCAACATTCTGGAGTGGTATGAAATAAGGGATCGCTGCATTTGTATTCTGTTCTGATTTCAGAATACTTTCCTTGCTTTCCAAGTTGAACCAAATACTAAATTGGGATATAAAAAAATTCTTTTCTGTTCCTTTCCTTATGCTGAACAGTTTCGTAAGACCCTTAAGATTAAATATTTCATTCCAAAAATTCTAAGCTGAACAGCATCAAAATTCATCCTTCCATCTCTTCCCCCATGCCACCCCCACTTCCCTTACAGTTATTGGGCATTTCTATGTTCCAGACTCTATATTCCAATCTAACAGGAGAGGAGAGTTACATAAATGAGTAGAAGGAATAAAGATTACATCGTAAGTTGTTCATGATCTAGTGAGGGCACAATGGAGGAGGTGGGCAATTTCACCTGAAGAGGTCAGGAAAGGTCTAAATGAAGGAGCCAAAGTTTGAGCTGAAGCATATAGGATAAGTAGATGCTCACTCAGCTGACAAATAGGGTGGGGGACATTCAAGATGGAGAGAATGGCATATACAGAGGCACAGTGCTATGAAACAAGACTTGCTTGGGAATAGCAAGCTGGTCAGAATGCTAGGGCAAAGAGTGGGGGTGGGCAGAGGGACGGGCAGGGGCCATCATGGAGAGCCCCATGGTCTGGACATCAGTCCTCACTGGAGTGGTCTTGGGTTCATGCTTCCTGTGGTCCTAAATGTTTCTAATTCATTGTCATTCCTCTATTTTTTAGGGATCCCTTAATCTAAAACCTTCAGGGGTGTTACATGTCTGACAGTTCAGACATACAACAGATTATACCAAGAATAAAATAAATGCTGTGATTTTTAGTCTATAATGACCTTCTTGCTACTCAATGTTTGCTTTCTGGGGACAGAGGATCCCTTATCACATGCAATTCTATGTTTTGACGTCTGCACATTGGACTTCAATATATGTTCCTGGGAACATGTTATATATCAAAGTTGGGGATGGTCTGTATTTAGCAAGAAAGGGGCTCTTTCCTTATGAGTTCGTTTCTAAAAATTCAGATCCAAAAAAATGTAGCAATGCCACTGACAATCCGTAAAATCTAATAAACACAAAGGCAAGAAGGAGAATAAGACAGAAAGACTAGCAATATATGCAAATATATTAGCAAATATTTGAAACCCAAGACCATAAGGAAAGACTGCCACTTTCTCTCACTTTCCAGCAAAAGTCAATGACTGCTGAAATAAAAGTGCAACACGGCCTACGAGGGAAGACAGAACATTCCAAGAAAAAATGTAAAAATGTTTCTGATTCATTTCAGAAATAGTCAAGATCTGTTAAGATTTAACTATGAAAAGGGAAGTGCTCATTCTCAGAAAGCAAATAAAGGGGCGGTCAAATCACCAGTTTACAAAACTTCAGAAGGTGCAGGGATCAAGATGTTCCACTAGGCGGTGAGTGGAGCTGTGGGAGATGCATCGCTTTGGTGTCAAACCCAATGGAAGGCTTTTCAAACCCATTTTGTCACTTCCTGAATTTCCTGCATGACGACGCTCCCTCTTTTTTCCTCATAGAAATTTTAATGCTCTGAAATTGGCATGTGTCTTACAACTGATGTACATATTTATTGTATAGTGTTCTCTTTCTTCCCGAAAAGCTGTCATTAATTGGATGACGTGTCCCCCTGTTGATGGTTTCTTAAAATCGGGAGCATTTGGTAACAGCTGTGTGATTGAGCATTCGTGATTTAAACACCCTGAGCTTTCATTTCCTCAGTGGGAATTATAAAGAAGGTCCTAAGCTGGATGAAAATGGAATTGATGATCTAAAGCTCTTGTGTAATGCTAGGCACGTGATAGTATCGGCGAGTGCCAGGGCCCAAGGTAGGTCAACTCCTCCAAAGTTCCTGGACACTTTGAGCACCTTGTCTGCTTAATACTGGGGAGTAGACACCTGCTCCAGCCAGTCCTGTTGACAGAACTTTCTCCAAGGTCACCTGTCTACAGGCTTTCTGCCCTGAATCCAGGAAGCCAGAGGATAGTAAGCACCTAAGAGCCAGTCCTGACTTTTACCTGGAGCTCAAAGTTTGCCCAGGATTTCTTCTGAACAGTCTTTGACCATTTACAAAGCTGTTTCACTAACATTTTCTTTTCTGATCCTTATAACCACTCTATGAGGTAAGTGGAGGCAATATCATCCACTTTACTTCTCAGAGGTGTGAGAAACACAGTTTCTCAGATGAATGCACCAGTGTCATATGCTGGTAATGACACAGCAAGGCTGCCAACCCACACGTGTCCCATCCATCGCCCAGCACCACTTTTAGGATTCAGTTCTGCACAGCCGTCTTCCCAAGCATGCCTCTGGGACAAACCCAAGGACTACAACCTTAACTTTGCTTCAGACAGACTGATGCGTGAAGGGGAAGCAAGCCATCCTGAAAGACTGCTTCTAGACATGGTAAAGGCAGAGGCTGAACACTGAGTCCTATTCTACTCTCACACACAGGGGAACATGTCCACAGCAGCTGCCTCGGGCTTCATCAGGGAGCCCCATGGTGCTGGAGACAGAAGCCAGTAAAACAAGCACAACTCACAGCCATCACAAAGCGAGAGCACTATTGGCGAGTGACCCAGAGGCCTCAGGGGTGCTACCTGTAGGCTTGGGGCTGGCTGAGGCAGACCCGCAGTCCTATGAGGATTAAGGTGTCTGTGGATGGGGGGCAGAGACGGGGGGGGTAATGCAGAAGATTCAAGGTAAAATTAGAATTCTTCCCTCTGAGAAAGTATCTGTGAAAAGGCAAACCATCAACATGGCAGAATCTAAACCCTCTGGGCATTTAAAGACATTAAAAGGGCCTATGCTCCAACTCTAGGTTTTGGAGGTTTGCCTCTGAGCATGTTTGGAAGTCCTAATAGAACAGTGAAACGAAGAAGGCCCTCAAATCTTTCCTGGTGCATGATTTGGACTTCAGACATCTGTATGAAGTGGTTAATGATGCGGTAGTTAAAAAGGAATTACACACACACACACACACACACACACACACAAAGGAATTACACTTACTTGTCAAAATTTAAGATAAAATCTAAATTAACATGCCTGGGAAAAATGAAAGTCAGGTGTGTAAGACCCATAATAATAGAAACACAGAAGTCAGGGCAACTGAGGATCAGGGTTTAAGCCACATCTTTGACAAGGTTTATCTAGTATCCTGAGAGAAGAAACAGTTTCTTGAGTGAGAGGAATGGAGTAACTTGGAGGATCCGATTCTGGATGTGGTGGTTATCTCATTCTGGCAGGCCTGGTGATATGGGAGAGCTCCCAGGAAACCACCAGAACCAGATGCGCTACAGGGGGTCATACATAGCCCTGCAGCCCCCCTCTTCCCCCACCCCCCCGCCATGAGAGAGGACACCCAGAGACAGATGGGCCGGCCAAGCAGGGCTTTCCTCAGGAGGTCTGACCCCAGAGAACTGCTTCTGGATCTCTCATGCAGGGTTTTTCACAGGCTAGAATTCCTGGTACTTTTCATGGGAGTGTCTTTTCAAAAGTGTGAATGATTTCGCACATCTGTCCTTTCTTTGAGCTAGACAATTTCCAAGGAAAGGACTGTTCCCAGTGATAACAAGGCGGGCCTTTAGGACTGCTCAACGTTTGGCCGGGTCAGGAATATAAAATGTCTCTTGAGATTTTTCTGGATATGGAAGAGAATTTGTAGCAAAGCATTTAGTCTTTGCTGGATCCTGAGTTTGTAAGAAGTTGGAAGAAAAAGAAAGAACTAGCACTCGTTCTTGAAAGAAAAATAGTATGAAAGCAGAAGAAAGGGAGGGTGGCAGGTATCAAAGGGATGTGTGGTAATCTTTCAGGGAGTAACCCTACTGTCCCTCTCTTCCCCAGAATCGGAGCCTTACTTTGGGAGAAGGGGCCTAACGCAGATAAATGATGTTGCACACTGAGCCCTGTACGTGTTCTAAGGCTGCTGGGTAACTTTGAGAGGGCCTATGGTGATGCCCAGGACTGACTCCTCCAGGTGGTATCAGAGGGAAGGGCAGGAGGGAGGTAGCAAAGGAGGAAGGGAGGAGACACGCCTCCTTCCGCAAGCAAGCGCGTGGCAAGGCTGTCCCCCTGGAACCCGCGGAGCCCGGTCACCTACCTTGCTCCACAACCCCACTCTCCAGCTGGTACAAGGACGGAGGTGGCACCTCTTAGCGGGGTCGGGCTTCTGGATGGCGGCACAGTCAGAATCCGTCCCGGTGCTACAGTCCACGCTTCGCCAGTAGGCCCCTAGCCCACAGCTGGTGGAGCACTGTGGCAGGGAGGGGGACAGGACAGAGGCTGAGGGCCGCCTTCTCAGACATCCCCCTGCCACAGCCTGCAGTCAGGCGTTCTCACTCTTGGACGCTCACCTAATCGCCCGCAGGCCTTTCACAGAAATTCCGGCGCTGGGGTCCCGCCCCAGACAAACGAATGCGAATCTCCCTGGGTAGGGCCTGGACATCAATGTAAAAAGAAATGCCCTGGGGGGTGGGGGGGGCGCCTGGGTGGCTCAGTCGGTTAAGCGGCTGCCTTCGGCTCAGGTCATGATCCCAGGGTCCTGGGATCGAGCCCCACGTCCGGCTCCCTGCTTGGCGGGGAGCCTGCCTCTCCCTCTGCCTCTGCTCCCCCTGCTTATGCTCTCTCTGTCAAATGAATAAATAAAATCTTAAAAAGAAAAAAGAAATGCCCCAGGTGATTCTAATAAACAGCCTGCGATGAGAATCCCTGATCAGCGCATGAGAAGAAAAGCAAGGGGAAATTTGCTTCTCTTTAAAAATCATCCTGGCCGGAATGTCTGGGGGCTGCAGGCCGACTGCCGGCTGCACTTCTTATCAGTGCTGTCAATCAGTGCATAGGGGGTGTCAGATCCACGCATCTGCCTGTCAGAACACCGCAATGACCTTATGTCACTTCCTCCTCTCCACGACAAACCCGTGGGTAGCCTGGGATTGTCACCGTGCTGAATAAACCCCATGAGGCTTGGAGAGCTGGCCTGACCAAGGAGTAAGCCTGGGGCTCTCTGCCTCCAAAACACCATACGCTATCTGTTAGAGCAGTTCCTCTAGAACTTCAGCGTCCGTAGGCGTCACCTGGGCACCTTGCTAAATGCAGGGGCTGAGTCAGCAGGTCTGGGGTGGAGCTGCAGATTCTGCATCTCTAACCAGCTCCCAGGTGCGGCCGACACCGTGGATCCTCAGACCGTGCTCTGGGGCTAGAAAGACGTTACAACGTGGTACTTTTCACCACTTGCCCTGCTGGTAACGCTGGTAACGTACAGCCCTTTCCTCACATGATGTTGTTATTTATTTGGAATTCTTGAATACCTCAGGTTTAGCATGGGGTCACCTTGAAAACTACCCACCCTGCCAATTTCCTTTATTCTATGTGCTTCATTCTTTCATTCAGCTGATTTTTCTTGCATCCCTTCTTCCCCGCCCGCCTTCAGAAGGAGGGGTTCTTTTGTACACAGGTAAAACACAGCTCTGGGCTTATAAAAGAAAGTGTAGAAATTCCATCCAGGACATCTTTGAAAGCTCCTTTTGATGAGTTGTAAATAAAAACCAGCCTTACATTTCTCTTGCTCTGCTATTTCATCCTCCATATAATTTCATGTGTCACGTTATGCAAGCTCTTGTGTTGGATGTATGTGCGACAACACAGACTCTAGGTAGATGAGTCCACTACAGAATCATAGAATGGAAAGAGTAGAACACAGCCTAGGTCATCATTTTTCCAACTGGCTCATTTAGGGAGGTACTATCTCCTCCGCCTTAAAGTTCTTTAGGATTTGGCTTCTACCTAAGTCCCTAGCACTTTCTCTGTTGTGCTGCATCATGCAGATGTATGATAGAGTATGGACCACTGTCATAGGTTGATGGCACTGGTGGCCCACACGGGACACACCATGCTCTCTCTCTGCAATAGGACTTGGCAGCTTTTCTCATCAAGCAGTAGGATATATTCCCCTAGCTGAATCAAGGCTGTTCTTGTGACCTTTTTTGGCCAATAAAATGCAGTGGCTGATGTACCAGTTCTCAAGGGGACATGCTAGTTTCAATTCTCTATCTTGGACCCCTCTCTCTGCCATGAGAATGAAACCAGGCTAGCCAGCTGGAGGATGAGAGCTCGTGTGAAATAGAACTGGGTGACCCAGCTGAGGCCACCTGAGACCAGCCAGTCTGCAGCCGACCCTCTAACGGATGCATGGCAACTGAAGCTGAGATCTGCTGAGCTCAGCCCCGCTCAGCAGAACCTCCCAGATGATCCATAGACTCATGAACAAAACTCTGAGGTTTTGTGGTGGTTTGTCATCTAGCATTATTGTAGCAATAGGCAACAGATACAACCACATAACAGGTACCTTTCCTACATTTTCTCTAGCCTTCTGAGACTCGGGGTACAATTAAAATTCTGCAGTTAGCTAATGGTGTGATCTTTTGCAGTTTCCTAACTCCCTAGCCTATAAAACTGGTGGTAACATTAGGACCACAGAGATTCATGCACATGGTCAGGACTCTACAAATGTTACCTATTAAACACAACACAGCTGCGAGGTCAGCATTGTGAGTCCCACTTTCTGGGTATCTGGGGCCCAGAGATAGAAGCCACGTTCAAGGCTACATCATGTCTGTTGTTAATTTTGTATCATGACAGAGAGAAAAATGTATTTGCCCAAACCCAGGAAAGGACCTAGTGAGATGGAATTCCCAGGCTAGCGATAACCTGGTAAATCTCAAGTGGTGTCTAGGACTCTTTGTACCGTATTTGTGGGGCAAATAAATGCATGTTGTCTCTGGGGCTCTGACTTAGTCCTGCCAGATTCAGATCCCGTGAGCAGACATTTAATTCCTTTTGACAGTTTCTACGGAGGCAGCCAACAACAGCGCAAAGGGAAAGCTGACAGAGGGAAAAGCATGGAACACAGTGAAAGTGAGATGGGGTTCCATCAACCGTCACTTGTATTAGTTTCAAACTGGGAGTGAGGGATGAGACAAGAAAGGGGGACCCTGAGGAGGTGGAAGGACTTCACTTTGTCCTGGAAACCTTCATCCTTGTTAGGTTTGCTAGCGGCCCTGTGGCCACCGTTGTACCAGGGTAAGGAGCAGGTTTCGGGATGTTCAGAACCGGAACTAACAAGGAGGGCTGCGTCGGAATCACGTGAGAACTGCCGTGAACGGCTCTGGAAAATCGTTCTGTCACTTCAGTTCACGCAACTGCACAGCTGACGTGTAACGACCGGCCCTGGGGATCTGACTGGATGACGGGGAAATTCAGGGAGACGTGATTTTCTGACCACGTAAGAGCCACACCATGCACGCGGCATAGCACCTAGGTTTTCTGCTTGTAAACAGATACCAGAGCAAAAACACTTACTGGGTGCTTCCTATGTGCCCCATACTCTCCTGAGTACCTTACACATAGTTACTACTTTTACCCCCTACTGATCTTTGAGTCGGGCATTGTCACTGTCCTCCTTACACAGATGAGGAACCTGGGTATGTGAGGACACAGACAGTGAGTGGCTGAGCAGGATTCCGGCCCAGAAAGTCTGGTTTCAAGCTTTATGTCTTTTTATAGTGTTAACTTGGTCTTTATATCCATTCTTTAATTTTTGAAGTCACAGTCTGAGGAATGTGTTGTGTACAACAGGGAGCCTGAACAGCCCTTCCACACAGGACAGAAAGTGGGAGGACACAGTTCAGAGCGATTTTGGGTCAAATGATAAGGCGCTTTAGAAATGACTTCCGATCTTAGAGATCAGGAGAGGCTTTCTGGAGGAAGCAGCTCAAAGTTTGGTCCTGAAGAACAGGGCAGGATTCACAAGGGCAGAGGAGGAGGGGAAGGCACTTCAAGGCAGAGGGAACAACGTAAACAGACTGAGCAGGGCAAGAGGCTTAGGGGAAACTGAGCAGTTTCGATCTGCTGAAGCTAAAGATGGTGAGGCAGAGGGGAGGCAAGTAAGGCTGTTGAACTGTCTGAGTCGGTTTATCTGAACAATGAAGAGACAGGAAAGATTTGTGAGCAGGAGTTTGGAATGATTAGCATATTCCTTCCAAAGACTAACTTGGCAATTTTACGTCTCTTGTGATGATGTGTGGAAAGTGCTGCTGAGGGGAGAGGCTGGAGGTGCGCAGACCAGCGAGGGGCCGAGAGCAGTGACTGAGGCTCCTCCTTTCTTGACTATTGGGCCACTACTGGCATTGGACTGGACGATTCTTCCTTCTAAGAGACCTCCCTGAATGTCACGGGGTTTTATCATCTTCGGCTCTCAGATATTCAGTGTGGGTAGTGGCCCCCGCCCCCCATCACTGGAACAAACAAAAACATCCCACTCTTTTCCACGTGCCTCCCGCCATTAGACTGGAAGCCACTGGCCCCAAACGAACAAGAAATAAAGAGGAGATGACAGAGATGATGAGGTGACACCGACTTGAAAAACTGTCCAGGTTTTTATAGGGCGCTTGGGGAAGACTGGTATCAATGGGGTGACTGAGAGGCCATCCTAAAGAAACAGCTTCAGAAATGGACAGAATAAAAAAGTCACAGGACAGTGGGAAAACCAAAGTTTTCATTCTGAGTCCTGATCCTCTCTGACAATTCTGTGTATTAAAGATTTTGTCTCAAAAGATGTATAAAGGGGGCAGGCAACCAAACCCTATCACAAAGGGAGTTTCTGCCAAATGTTGAACTCTCTTCTCATAATATCCTTTGCAGCTCTGAAAAGCTGCAGTGTGGACCAAGTCCCCTTTTCTAGTCAAGCTACCCGGAATTAACAGCTCTCCGTGGCTTCACCCTGGTTGCCAAATTTTTGGTGAGCTATGATGTATTCTGTCGGACAGTTTATTTCTGTCAAAGACAAATGACGACATTTGCCGTAAGTCAAGGGTAGCTTGATTTACTACGATCAAAATGTATCAATTGACCTCTGGCCTCTTATGATCATCTGAGCAAATATATACTTTTATTTTGACTTAACTTACAGGTACACCTCACTTTACTCAGAGATAATGTGTTTTTTACAAATGGAATAGAGTGGAGTTAGAAAGTTCATCATCCAACTGACAATTGTGTCTTTAGACAAGTCACTTGACTGCCACAAATTTTATTTTCTCTATTTGCCAATTGGCATAAATGAGACCTTACCTGCTCCTCGGGACTGTCAAAAGGAGAAAACAAGAGCTAGATGTGAAAGTGGTTTGGAAATTAACATGCTTTATAAATTAAATGTACTGTAGTTATATTAGCTGCAAATACTTCATTTCTCTTTGGCCAGGGAGAGAAGTCATGAATCGTCACAAAAATGCTGACTAATTTGAACATGTGATTATTTTGCCACAAAGTCCTCCTTTGAGTTGTCAAATTATTTTAACAAGTTCATAGATCGTGCATTCAAAATTCAAACGGGTGAAAATGATTTTGATGCTTCAAAGGACATTAATTAGTTCTAGAAATGGAAAAACAAGTATTTAGCCAAATTTCTGAAGCTTGAAAACAGGGGCCAACATTCTGTCGTCATATTTATTCTCTTCTTCTTCCATATTCTAATTCTTTTAATGAGCCAAAATGATTTTTTTCATGCAAGTACTCAAACAGACCAACAAGAAAAGAAAACCATTGCTAACCCTGAGTTAGAGAAGGCATTTCAGGAACTTTATCTTCAATTCCCACTCCAATTAGGATTACCTGACAGATCTAGGGTCCCAACATCAGCTTTGCGAGTGAAATGCCACCTCAGGCCCTTTCAGCCGCTCCTCAGCGGTTCGAAGCTGGGGGTGTGTTGTGGGTGGTCTACACCAGTGCCACCACTCCGTAGGTAAGAAGCGGCTTCCGAAACACGGACTGAGCTCTCCGCCCTCTCACAGCTGGCTCGCCCAGCCCTCCTTAGTTCAGAGTTCTTTTCACTTTATCGCACCGTATTTGTCCTCCCTCCCCAGAGATTTTTAATTTTCCCTCTCTCCTTGTTGGAGTTAGGGAGGCGAGGAGGGAGGTGAGGGCATGGGCCTGACTGCTTCATGTTTCTTCTACATTGGGCTAGATCTTATACAAGCCCATTTTGAAATCTGTGCAAGAATGCAAGAGCCCTAGCTATTTTCCTACAGAGTCGGGCATGGGGTGAGAAATGGAGCTCCTACCTCACTCCAGTTTCCAGCAATCCAGTATGCGGAGCCGCCGCCGCCTGTTGAGAGCGTCTTGTAATCCGAAGCATTGAGCAAAAACCCCTCAGCGATCAGACTTGTAGCATCTTCCTCGGTCAGGACTGGTCCGGAACCCTGCGTTAGATTGGCGTCGTTTGGAAGTTCTGGAGGGCTATGGCGGACGGTGTGTTCTGTCGGTGCTGGCCGGCGGTCTCCTCCCAGAGGGAATGGAGTGTTCGCTGGCTTTTCAGTGACCATCCCCTCAGCGCCAGGCACACCATTTTTGAGAGTAGCAGGCCTTTGGCTGGGCAGCAGACCTTCCATGGCTGTGCTGAAGGGCGCCCAGAGATAAGGTGTTGGTGGAGGCCCAAAGGGCATTTCCGTACTTCTCACCACGGAAGCATCATTTCCAGCTACTCTGATTTTGGTCCATGTTACGGAGTTGTTTTCATTTTTGTTCTCAGACTGTTCACCGTCTTCCCCTGAGCCACTATGAATCTCTATCCCTGGCACTTTGGTCAAGGTATCGTAAAATGGAGTCACCTGCCATGTCACAGGCTTGCTGGAAGAGGGCAAATCAGCACCAGTCACTGTCATGGTGAAAAGGTCTCCCTGTGAGGTAGGAGCAGTGTCTGAATTGGGAACATTCTCTTCATTTGGCTGGATACTCAAAGCCCAGGAAGTGAGGATGGGCTGGGAAGTACTTCCGGTGGAAAGGACATAATTGGAGCGCGGTTCAGTTTGGTGTGAACTATTCTGCCACCGTTTGGCACCCAGGTCTCCTCGTCCGGGGGCTGTGGTAGGACCGGGGCTGCTGACGGCCCGAGTGCTTGTGCTCACAGGCCTGGGCACCGTGGGCGTGCTCAGTGTTCTGGGACTGGGTGGAGTTGGAGGGATGGGTTTTAGGAGGTCCGGCTCAGATGTTGGGAGCTTTTTCCCACTGGGAATCGTGCCTTTGTGGGGTTTCAGAACTCTTCGGCCAGAAGGGCATTGCTGGAGGCCACAAAGAGCTCGGCTGTTGGGTTTCCTTGTCACATCGCAAGGTTCGTCATGGTTCTTGGCACACGTAACACTGCGGATCCGCACTCCACCGCCGCAGGAAACAGAACACTGGAAAAGAGAGACAGCTGTTAGAGTCATGGGAAAGGTGCACTGGTTCTCATGCTCAGGTTTACAACAGGTGAGAACAGGCCCGATGGAAATGGAGCTGGGCAGCCGAACTTGTTTTCTTCCATCTTTGTATCTGGTTTCTGAGCAACTTTAGTTCTCCAAGGAAATATGTATCTCCTGGAGACCAGATGGGGCTCAGGACCAACTGTTTAGTCTTCGCAAACTGAATATACAAACCACGACATAGTAAAACTGAAGTCTCCCTGGGCTCTGAACACAGGACAGAAAATTCACAGGAAGTGCAATGATGTATACGAGTTCCATACTCTTTTTAAGAGATGGTAAAATTATCTTTCCTAGGGTTGTGATGCTGTTAAATTAACACAAACTGCTTACACATTTTCTGGAGTCTATTAAGTTGGTTATAACAAACCTTCCCTTTATATTTAAAAAACACCCAGTGTAACTGACAGAGTCTCACCCAGGCACACTGGCTCCATGTCCACTTGCCTATGTCAGGTGGAATCAAATTAAAAGCTAGACAACCATCATACTCACACCTGTATACAGATCCAGGACCTATTCTGAAATTTAAAGGTGGGGAATTAATCGAAGTAGAGAGATACCCTTTCCAAAGAGTGAGTCCCACAGCATGGTGCCAGTATGAGGGGCCATGGCTGGTACCACCCCCCACCATGTTCCCTCCACATTCTGTAGGGCATGCCAAGCACAGGTAGCTAGAGCACTTTTGGAGGAATCCTAACAGGATGGTCTTTCCTCAGGATTCATGGTAAAGAATCATTATTTCCTCAGTCTCAGCAGCTGCAAACTACATGTACTCACTACATCACACTAAATTTCTAGATGTTTTGAAAAAATCTGTACTTTTACCAGACAGCTCTATGTGCCTTTTCTTTCCAATTTTAAGTCAGCCACCAAATGTATTGCACTTGAATATGAACCTCCAGTGGTCTTCACAGGCTGTTTCACATTTGTCTGGCTTATATTCCTGACCTCAAAGCGGGTTTTTTGAGGACGGGGATTGCATAATGCTTGGCAGATTTCCAAGGGCTCATAGCCACAGTTCTGTGTGATACTGACGATGGCCTTGTGAGATTTACAAGGCAGGAATTAGGATTCTGCCTTCCACAGGAGAGGGAGCTGAGGCTCAGGGACTTGCTTGAAAGGCTACAAGTCGGTGGAGGAGTAAAATCAGATTTCACAGCCTCCATGAAATCTAGTGCAACACACTGACAGGTAGCCATCCACTGATTTCCGCTCTTGACCACGAACTCTCAATTTCCAAAAAGCTACCCAAAGGCAGGAACTAGTTCTTACTCATAACTGAATTCTAGGATAGTTTTTGGGACACAGCGATCACCTGATACACATTTATTAAGTGACTATTTCACCTGGAAAAAAAAATCGGGAATGGGAAAATTCTGTGAGCTTATGCATTTTTTGGCTTAAGTTTCTTGCCTTCTTGAGTCCTATTTTTAATTTCCTCTGTGTAGGAAAATAATGTGGATGTGTAAAACTCCCCCTTTATTTTGTTCCAGTCAAGTATCATTTCTCCCTGATGTCTGCTAGCTCTGGGAAAGCAGATGCTTTGAAAAGCAGGAGAAGCTTGTCAGCACAGGAGACCGTGCAGCTGAGAGCGCACTCAGCTGCGGATCTGGGGTCACCTCAGTTTGAAACCTGGCAAGGGCAGCCCAGAGCCTTTTACTTTCCTGGTTTGCTACAGTATTTCTGCCTTCTTCTGTGCAAAGGTGCCTTAAAGTGCTGTCCGCTTCGTCCTCCTCACTGGCTCTCCACCTGTTACATTCTAATCCCAACCCCTTGAGTTTTCAAATCTCCACTTTGGAAAAATGATCCATTCAATCAAATACCCTTCATGTAGGTCCAAACACATTTCTGCACTGCTTGCCTCAGACAGGCTGGGTTTCGAGAGCTGATCCTTGAAAGAGGCCCCGGCTGACGCCAATGGTCCTCAAGCAGCAGGTGCACCTCCCTTTGGGTTTTTTTCTTTCCAAGAAATGTCAGAGTAGACAGCGACATGGCAGGAAGCTCTCTGATTTTTCTTTTCTTTCTCTTCATTCCTTTGTTTGTTTGTTTGTTTCGACTTGAAATGCTTATCATGTCCACAGGGAAGCCCAGAGACACACACCTGTCTGTGGGAAGCTACAAGGTGAGCAGCTGCCTGGGTGAAGTACTTGTAGGCACATATCTAGAGGATACTGTGGATATCCCCCCTCCCACTGGTTTGCTGCTAGATTTTTTAAGATTTAGATTTCCTAAGGTTAACAGATGGATACATATATATTTTTTAGAATTTATAAATTACACGTATTAAATAACCTTATTTACCACTGTGTGAATTTGCTCAACCTAAAAGAATAAAACAGGAGTAAATAAAAGCTATCTAACAGGTGAAAATACATTAGATTTTGAGCTTTTAAAACTGAAGATTATTCTAGAATAGAGATTCCAAAGTGGCAGCCTTAGGACTACATTTGACCCACAAACATTAATTCTTTGGCCTGTCCAATCTTTTTTGTCTCTTTCTTTTTTTAAAAAATGGTGGCAAGGAGAGGTGGAGGGGGAAGGGGAGAGAGAATCTCAAGCAGGCTCCACGCCCAGCACAGAGCCGAACGCGGGCCTCGACTTCACGACCCTGAGATCATGACCTGAGCCCAAATCAGGAGCTGGATGCGTAACTGACTGAGCCACCCAGGCGCCCCTGGCTTGCTCAGTCTTAAACAAGCAAACAGACGAAATACAAACACTGAATTAGTAGCCAACACTTAAAGTAGATTTCATATTAAAATTCCTGATTTTTAGCTTCTCTCAAAAAAGCAGAGGATCTGCAATTACTGGCGCCATTCTCAAATGGCACGTCACAACTTCCTTCACGGAGCCCGGGGTCTGGGAGCAGTTCTTATGTTCTCCAGCACGCCTACCTTTCATCCCCACCTGCTTCCCTCACCCACAGACCTGGAGGCTTCCAAGTAGCCCAAGGATGCCGTTCTTTAGCCCCAGGGTGTATCGTGCCCAGCGGGACAGTGTTAACGATCTACCAAGTCTGTACGCGGCCTACAAACGAAGTTGCCTTTTCTCGTAGCCGTGCCGGAACAGGCAGCACTGGTTTGTCCTCAGCCCCATGCTCCTTCCGATACATCTTCCACCTGTGATTATCTCCTTAGGAGCTGTCAAGCCCTTCAGATGAGATAAACGCAGGGCACAATGCTGCACTCAGAGCTCATCTTGATGGGTAGTTTCGGAACTCTCAAAGCCAGTATCTGCCAGGTTGACCTTGTGCCCTGACCGTATAGTTTTGAACTCTGTAGCAGGCCAGCAGCTCGTCAGTCTGTTCCTGTCCCCCTGGGGAGTCATCTTGCTCTCACTTGTCATTCCTCCAAGACGAAGGCCTGTGGGGAGCCCGCTGAGAAAGAGGGTTGCTGCTAAATGAGTCAAGCCGCCCACCTCAGGTGCACTGTGGGAGAGGGGAGCTCACAAAGGGCTCGGAGCTGCAGTGCTGAGAGTTTATTCAAAAACACAGTCGGGGCTCATCACAGAGTTAAAGCTAAAGGGCTGAAGAGAGAAATAGCTAGTGCTTTGCCATAAAAACGTTTATTGTGTAGTCTCGGGAATTTATAAATGAATGATTGGATCTCATGCTAAAACCAGCTTTGAAAGCAAGTTGAAAAACTTAGGTAGCTCTTATGGGTTGAACTGTGTCCCCCCAAAAAAGATTTACTGGAGTCCTAACCCTTGCCCACCCCCTCCCCCTATACCTCAGAATGGAGACTTATTTGGACATGGCGCCTTTACAGAGGTAATCAAGTTAAAATGAGGTCCCCAGGTGGGTCCTAATCCAATATGACCACTGTCCTTATAAAAAGGGAAATTCAGATACAGAGACACACACATAAGGACAATGCCACTGAAGATGAAAGCAAAGATCAGGGTGTTGACATCTACAAGCCAAGGAAGTCAAAGGCCGCCAGAAGCCAGAAGGCATGGAACAGACTGTCCCTCGCAGCCTTGAGAAGGAACCAACTCTGCCAACACCTTGATTTTGGACTTCTGGCCTCCAGAGCTGTGAGACGATACACTTCTGTTGTTTAAATCACCCCGTTTGTGGTTCTTTGTCATGGCAGCCCTAGCAAACTAATACAGTACCTAGATAATTTAAAAAGTATTATCAGACAGGATGAAGAGAATCAACATGGCCCCCAACTGGTTTTCTGTGAGTACTTGTGTCAAATGAGGATGCCTGTATGTGTTCTCCAGGAAACCGGGCAAAGCACAGGCTGCTGACATCCGAGGGGCACTGACATGCTGGCACGCACAGACATCCCGTGCCACAAGACGAGGTGGTCCAGGCTCACATCTCAGGGGTCCAGCCCCACAGAAGTGCCTTGGACCTTAACTCAAACTGGGGAGTACCACAGGTAATGGGCTGAGAAGTATCTCCTCGCCCTCCTGCTCCGTTCTTCTTGGGTCTGCAGGCATTTCTGTGAGGCTTCACACAAGAGTTCCCTTTGCTTCTTGTTTAGCCACAGACATGCTGCTGGTGTTCGCTGTGGGCGATTCTGCCTGAGGAGGCAGGAGAGATTGTTTGCTAACATCAGCATCTAGTCTCTCCGGTCACTCGGATGTTCCAACACCCATGTGGACCGCTTTGCCCTTGACAGAGTCTCAGTAAGTTGGTTAATTGCTTTGTTCATTTGTCTGTGCGCTTTCATCAGGCACACAAAGGGCTCGGGGGCTGCCCCACGCCCCATCAAGTATATTAAAAAACATCTCTAGTCTCAAGGGAAATATCATTTTTTTTTTTTTTTTGCTCTGAAAACCATCTGAAAGGCTTTTTCTTCTTTTGCTTTAGAAGTATTTGGGGGGGAGCAATTTATTTAAGAGGGCTCTGATTTCTCAGCAATCATTAGGCATAGTCTGGAATTCCAGCAAAGTGACAAAAGCTGATCTCTAAATTGTTTCCAAATGTAATATGATTTTTTTATGAATACTAAGGGCCGTCAGATTGTTGTATTTTGTAGACGTGTGAGATGCATATGGCAGAGTGTTCCCAGTAAAACTCTGCATTCAAATCCTGGCTCCACTGCTTAAAGGACAAGTCTCTAAAGATCTCTATGCCTCAGTTTCTTCACCTGTAAAATGAGGTTAATAAGGCTGTTAGGAGGTATTGTGCTAATACCTATAAAAGTGTTTAATAGTAATACCAGTAAGTATCCAGTAGGTACCTGCCATTAATATGTAATTAAATATTGATTTATGATCTTGCTGTGTCCTTTGTTTTTATGGAAACCATCCATTAGCCTTTTCGTTAGGTCTCAAACATTTTTGTAGACCCTTGACCTCATGCTTATAGTGCTCCATGCAGAAAATGGCCCTGACCTTGGGGCGAGGGTCTAGATGAAAATGCAGAGGGGCACAGATCAATTCTGTCAGGGCATCTGGGTGCCACCAACTGGACAAGGCTTACAAAACCAGGGTAGCATAGAAGATAGACACTTGCCTTCTTGCTTGAGAATGAAGTTACCATTTAGCAAACACTCACTATTTGCGGACACCGTGCAAAGGGCTTCGGTGGATTATCTTCAAGCCTCACATTAACCCTGTCTTTATAAATGAGAAAAGGCTGGGCGGGGGGGCAGTTAACACTAGCTCAAGGCCACACAATTAGGGATTGCCAGGGCTAGAAAACCTAGGAAAATTACTCTCCCACTAAATCTATTAGCGTCTAACTGCCAAGAGTAACAGGGGAATTCATGAACATCACCCTCATGGAGTTACCTTAAATGTTAAATGAAACGAACCCTACAGTGTGAAAAGCACTCAACAAATGACAGACGATGTTGTTGTTCCCATCTACTTACTCTGCTAGGAAATGACTATGTCTATACTTTACTGTGTCCCAGGCACTGTTCTAGTAAGAAGTTGATGAAAGTACTGTCTAAGTACTGATGAAAGTTGAGTCTAAGTACTGCTGTTATTCCTGCTTCATGGATGGAGGAAACAAGCCACAGAAAACTAAAAGGAATCACAAAGAGATTAAAGTCACACATCTAATAAATGGCAGAGCCAGGATTTGAACCCAGGGACCCATACCCCTGAGACCGTGCATGTCCTTCACCACTAGACAAGGCATGTCACTGAAGCAGTATACCTAATAAAAATGGGGGGCACAGAAACTCTGATACTGTGTTTACAACAAATCCAGTCCCCCTTCTTTATCCTTCATGCCCAGAAAGTAGATTGGGTGAAAACAGAGCAAGATTCTTGGTGAAATCTGAGATTGCGGGTAGGAGTCAGTGTTCAGGGCATGAGCTTAGAGAAGGAGGGGCTGGTCAGACGGGCAGAAAGGGTCCCCCAGCTCTTGCTAGGTCGTCCTTCAGACCCCTGCTGGGTCAGGGATGAGGGTGCCAGCCTGGCACAACTGAGCCCACCCTTCTCTCGTTGCTTGGGTTGGCAGAGGTGTCTTGGCAGGGAAGGGAAGTCAGCCCAGAGAGGATGACTCAGCAGGAGCCTCCTAGTTCTTGGATATTCTGGCCCAGTTACCTCCCAGCTTCTGACATCTAGGGTGACCCAGACAGCTCAGTACAGACCAAATCATGAGGTATATCTGGAGTGCTATATCCTGCATCAATTAATGCCAATCTCAAGGCAAGATCCATACCATAAATACTATGATAGCAAAAATACAGCACTGCATCATCTCTCTTAAAAATGTATCTGGGCCTAGATAGAATATCAGAGACATTTCCTCATATTCCAGAAAAGCTCATTAGAGGGCTCACAGGTACAGACATTAGCAAAACAGCAGAAGGAAGAAAGGGAGACCCACTGGGTGAATATTTCCATGCTGATTTAACTAAAAGCACCTCTCATGACAGCATCCCAGGGCTCAGCCTTTCTGCTCAACTCCATCCAGTGGAAGCCAGAAACTGAATCCCATGTCTGCTCACAATACACTATGCAATGGCCTGTATTTGGGACCACAGACACGAGTACTTGTCATACTGTGCCAACTTTTGTCCTTTGTTCTCCAGTTAAGGCATATCATTTTGTTCCCCATAAACATGAGCACAGTAAGAAGAACTTCTCATACAAATATGTAATTGTAGTCCTTTAAAAAAGCACAAAGAATCTGGCAATTGGTAAATTCTACTCGACAAGAATTATGGACTGCTTTGGATGCAGCCCAAACATTCCTAGTAAACAGATGTAATGGACCAGTCACGGTACCTCATCCAGCCTTATTTTGACAACACTGTTATTTACAGCAATCCAGGCTGGTGGTGGCCTGACAGGCCAGGCCGGCCACAGGCTCTCATTGCCCTCTCCCAGGATCAGCCCTGTTGCTGATATCTGCACAGATTCATAGTACACTATTGGTTTGCAGATATGTTTTCTTTGCTTATATTTTTCTTTTTCTTTCTTTCTTTCCTTCCTTCCTTCCTTCCTTCCTTCCTTCCTTTCTTTCTTTCTTTTTCTTTCTTTTTCTCTGTCTCTCTCTCTCTCCTCCTTCCTTCCTTCGTTTCGGTTTTTGGTCCCATCTCTCCCATTTGATAGGAAGTTCCTACAACACAGGAAACATACTTGCCATTTTCTTTCTATTTTCACCTTGATGCCAAGAAAGCATTCTGCAACAGATTTAGAAGTTAAATAAACCTAAACTGTGACTGTGAGCTAATGAAATAAAGTTCTGGAAATAAGGTTATCACAGTGCTGTATTCAAATGAGTGTTTTCTACTTTCAAAGAGCTTCAGAGATGGCACCTTTGTTGATACAAATTTTCAAATTCTTTTTTACATAATACTTTGGAGTACCTTTATTAGTACAGATGGTACTTACTGCATTCTCCTGAATCAAGTATTTTCCATTTGTTTGAAGGTGAGTCCTAAGAGGAGTTCCTATGACATTCTGGTCAGTGGTCGCATTATTAACGAAAAGGACAGGGCTTTCCAAGGAAGCTCAGAAGAAGTCAGCATCCACCCATAAAGTCGGGACTGTTAGTTTAAAAAATCATGTAATTTGTAGTCATTCCTGAGGTCACTGAACTGCAATGTGCACAGGGAAGTAGAACAAGGCCCCTGGAGACTCCAGGACATTTGGAAAAAAAAAGGCTCCACACAGCGGACTCTGGCAGCACCAGGTGTGATAGGACCAGGTTCCATGGTGACCTAAAGAAAAATGAAGCCTGGGAACTTTTGTGACCTCCTAGCCCACTGATTTCTAAGTATACTTAGAGGATCTGATCAGATTAATTTTGGAAAAATGCAACAACACTTATTTGAATTTGTGTGGCTAATAATAGTACATGTTCTAAACCTCGGTCAGGTCTGTCCTTGACCCACGCCGAACAGACAGACAATTCGAGGGGCTTCTTCAAGTATCAAGTACACTGCCTATCATTCTACTATTACAGCAACACTCGTCCGGTTTTAACTCTCACGGTTTCAGGGAAACAGAAATATCAGTGTTTAATGACCTAGTTCTTGATTTGCTGCCGATGGTTTAACAACGGGACGGCAAAAAATCCTGACAATGTACCAATTAGCTGTTGAGAGCCTGGGCAAATGGGGTCCAGCTTATCCCTGGCAGGTGACTGACTCTGGACAAGTGAGAAGCAAATCCTGTAAGAACAGAAAAGAAGCAAGATGGGATACAAGGCAGGTGGAAATGCAGGAAACAGGCCAGAGGTGATACACACCAGCCATCGTGCAATTTTCTCTCAAGCCGCTTTGGGTTGGTTACTGAAGAGGCAGGGGTGGGGAAGTGATGACGCTCACCTCACTCCAGTTGCCTACTGTCCAGTCTGATGGACACAAGATGTCTCTGTTGCAGGAAATGAGGGTCTTGGGCCTCAGCAGGTGCCGGCAGTCTTTAGCCGGGAGAGCCTGCTCATCAGAGCCCATGGTCTGGATGCACAGCACCGTCCGCCTCTTCTCTCCGTGGGGCCCACACGTTGCTGAGCATGCTTCCCACTCCCCGGCCCACCACCTGCAGGCGCACATGGACACCAAAAGTATATGGACACATTCAGTTCAGCCACCGGAAAGAGGAACCGGGAGCAGAAGTGCAGGTCACAGAGCTGGGTGGCCCTTGGAGATACTCCAGCCCACTAGAGGAAGATAGGGCCACAGCTGGTTTGTGCAATCACGGCTCAAGTCCAGCAGAGCACCCAGCAGGAGGGGATGCTACTTAACAATGTCTCTGCATGAAAAAAAAAATGCCCTCTCTCTTTACAGTCAAGAACACTGAGGTCTAGTTTTCTGTTATTACAGCGTCACGTCAAGCAAGTTTAAGCCTTACTTTCCTCATCTGTTAAATGGGTATGACAATACTGACTTTATAGGAATATTGTAGATTAAACAAAGTACCAGATTTATATGTGGTGCAACATACAGAGCCTGACACATAATAGAACTTGATCATCTGTAATTATTTATTGTTATTTTGATGGTTGCTACTGAGTAAAAGAATCTCATAAAACGTAGGTCCCCTGGCTCCTAACTGAATGTTTTTCTTTTCTGCTCTGAAGCAGGTAGTGAAACAATTGCTGATTTTCAGTTATTTAGGAGATGGTCAGTCAGAGGCACTGCCTTCATCCTCCCCATCTCCTCCAGTCTACCTACTCCTAGTTTCACAGGTCCCTTTAATAAGAAAGCAGGAGAAAAAGAAGAAACAAAATAATTTCTTACTTCTCAACTATTCTTGACAAGTCAAAGTGTTGACATGGTTTGCTAAATGAATACTCTGGATTCACTGTGGAAAAATAGGGATGTGAGTTCTTTCTCTAGCCCCTTATCACGGATGATTTACTCCAGATTCTAGGAGGTTGACCCCGTAGCTATGTAGAAATAGCTTTTGAAAGCAGCAGGGAGCTCTCTTGGTTTCCCCTTCTCCATCACTGTGTAAATCTTCCCCAGCACAGAAGGGAAAACAAGTGTCTTGATCCAGTGTGGTTTGGGTTCACCATTGTTGGAAAGTATGGCCCACTTCTTTGGCTCTCTGTGCAGTAATAAAATGGAATGCTTCTCTTTTTCATGGGAAAATAGTATAGCATATGAAGTCGTTCATTCCTGAATTTAAGGAAGACTTCTGTCCTTGAGATAGTATGGAATTTTGAAGAAGACAAAAGTTTGTACTATGATTTAGAGTTAGTAAGTATTGGATTTATTGGGGTAAAACTTTTGAGTCTCACACTTTTAATCTCAGGTTAAAAATATGTGAAGAAAGCTATTCCTTGATTCTGTTACATTCTTTAATAAGTTACTTTTAAGTTATAAGGATTACTTATTTATTCTTTAGTGTTTAACATCTATAATTATGTAATTAAGATGAGTTATTCATTTATTTATTAAGTAATAATAATAAATAAGCTTACTCCCTTATTCCTTAGTGTTTATCATCTGGCTATCCTGTGTGGATAAAGAGTTAATATTGGAACCACATGATGTGAAACCAAAGGAACGCCCACTTTGGTAATCATGAATCTAGTTACTTCACCCTACTTCTGACATGTCTGGGGGAAGCCAGACATGTTACCGAATATATAAAATGTCATTCTGGAAGGCCTTTAATAATCTGAGTGGACCAAAAAAGTATAATTTATCAAATTACTTGCTACCAGGCTTTCAGCTGTGTCCCCACAAAGTGATAATGAACCTCCCTATTTTCTCTTTCTGGAATCTCCCCCAGAGTCCCCTGGGGACATTTTGCATCTGTTGGTCACTAGTTTAAAGTGAAAACAGCACCTCCCTTTCTTTAATATCTCCCAGCAAAGGTCTTCCAGCCTCAGGGCTCAGGAACTACTGTCCAGTTCTCTTGTCCATTTCACTTTTTGATGTCTGCCATAATGCCAGATTTCCAGGAGATGTATAATAGAGTATTGCTTTTATATTTATAGGAGATTTGTGGCAGAAGGCTGCTGAAATGCCCTGAGGGATTGGTGAGAAGGGCAATGTAATGCAAAGAACTCAGCAGGACAAAAACCCAGCCCATTTATTCACCCCACAAGACAACCTCCCTGGCTTAATCAGCACAGAATTAACAACAACCTTCCCTGATTTGTTCTGGTTTTGCTATTGATCTTTACCTTACCAGAACGCTGATGACACTCATCACACATCATGTACTGTTTCTTACTGTTCTTTAGACCCCCTACAGCAGTCAATCTCACCACCCCAGTTACAATGTAAAAGTCCTTTGGGGGGGCGCCTGGGTGGTTCAGTTGGTTAAGCAGCTGATTTTGGTCATGACCTTGGGGTCCTGGGATGGAGCCCCATGTCTGGCTTCCTGCTTAGCGGGGAGTCTGCTTCTCTCTCTCCCATGGCCTGTCCCCACCCCGCTCATGCTCTCTCTCTTTCTCTCTCAAATAAGTAAATAAAATCTTTTTAAAAAAGTCCTATGGACTGGGGCTCTATCAAAGATTCTCACTATAACAACACAGTGGGAGGATTTAAGAAGCAAAAAATTCTACCAATGACAACGATTTTAAAAGATTTGTTTGATTGCTATGCTTCCCTCTTCTTAAGTATAATTTTCAAATCGTTTGGAGGGAATCGCAGGAAATTATGTTTCCAATGTAAGAGCAGAAGCTGCGGAACAGAATGGGCTGTCTTGCTCCCCTGAAGCGCAACGATGTGCAAAGACAGAGACCGCAGCTGCAAAACCGACGCTCAGCTCACCGAGAACACCTGGGCGCTGGAAGGCACACCTGTGCTGGCCGGGACTGCCCAGTGGCTGCCTGGTGCCCAGCGCCTGCCTGCGGCCACAGAACCTCCTTTCTCACTGCGACCGGGGCTTCAGCACTGATGGTGGGAGAGGAGGCTGCATCCCTGGTCCATTTCAGAAGTTTGCTCTAAATCAACAAGCTGCATCCATGCGCTCAGCTTAAGAAGCCTTCCAGGGGGAAAAGGTATCACTTGCCTTGTTCTAACAATGCTGCTTTTAGAACGAAGACATAAAGACATGTCAACTAACTACAAAGCCCCAAGGGGGGCAAGGACCATGGGGACAGTGGCCAGGAGGCAGGGCTTTGAGTAAGGGGTCCCCATGGCTGGCTGCTGGTCTCGCCCTGACAACAGCTTGCCTTGCCCATGAATATGTATCTGGTAGCCTGCCTGGCTGCAAGCTTCCTTGGGAAGTGACCTATTTGTGCTATTCCAAAAAATTCTTCAAACAATGAATCATGGAACACTACATCAAAAACTAATGATGTAATGTATGGTGATTAACATAACATAGTAAAAAAAAATTCTTTGCCACACATTCCAAGAAGCCCCAATCCCAGGGTTTTCCAAGCTCTGGAGCGTCTATCGCTGGGCTGGGGGATCTCTCCTCTTCTCTTCACTTGCGTTAAACTGCCTCCATTAATTTCCTGTGGTTGCTGCGACAAATTAACCACAAACTTGGTGGCTTCAAACAACAAAAATCTGGTTTCTTACAGTTCTAGAAGCCAAATCTCGTCTATTATAGTCCTAAAATCAGTGTTACTGGGATGAAATCAAGGTGCTAGTGGAGCTACGCTCCCCCCAGAGGCTCTACAGAAGATCTGTTCTTTATCTCTTTCAGTCTGTGGTGGCTGCCAGCATCCCTCGGCTTGGGGACTGTCCCGCCAGTCTTCAAGGCTGGTGTCTTCAAATCTGTCTGTTCTGTCTTCATACCACCCTGTGTGTGTGTGTGTGTGTGTGTGTGTGTGTGTGTGTGTGTGTGTGAAATTTCCCTCTGCCTCTCTCTTATAAGGACACTTGCAATGACATCTGGGGCCCAAGTGGATAATGGCTGATAATATCCCCATTTCAAGATGCTTTAATTTAATAACATCTGCAAAGACCCTTCTTCCAAATGAGGTAACATTTGTAGGCTGCAGGGATCCGGATGGAGATGTCCTTCCAACCTGTCCCATGACCGCACCGAGGGTCAGCTTCAAGTCCACAGAGCTCAGCTGGTATTTTTTAAGAATTCCTTTACCAAGGCTCCACTTCTGTGTCCATGGGCTTCCCCCTCGGCTCAGCCTTTCCCCAAGAGTCCTTCAGCTTCTGGACTCTTGCTCCAACATCCTTCTCCCTCTCACACCGATAGTACCTTACTGTAAAGTCACCTCCAACTAGAAATTCTGATAGTTGGAGTGTGGACTCTCGTAAGATAACCACCCTTACGGGAGATGAATTCTGAAAAGAGTGAGGCCAAGTTTTCAGCCACAGGTAAATAAGAAAATGTCAGCAACAGATAAACGTCTGTTCTAAAGCCAGAGCTGATACCAGAATCTTCTTTGACTGTGTTGCTTTTACATACATAGCCCATGTCCCCAGAGTTCTATCTTGGCCTCAGCAGGTGAGTGTCTGCATCAAGAACCTTCAGAGCCCACCACACCTAGCACAGTGCTTGCTTTGCTTTGGACACAGCCTGGATGGGGGAGAGGTATGTGCCTGTCTTTGGGGGTATGTAATGGAGACCACAGGCTTATAGCCAGACAGACCTGGGTTTGAATCTTTGCTAGTTGTATGATACTGAGTGAGGTAAAGGAAATTTCTTCCTCTATAAAACTGACATAATAATAGTTATTTTTCTGAGTAGTTGAGAACAATAAAGGGAAGATATAAGGTATCTCTAAAACATCATCAGAAGTGAAGGAGGTGCTTAAAAACCCCACTGTTTTCAGGGTGCCTGGGTGGCTCAGCTGGTTATGAGTCTGATTCTTGATTTCAGCTCAGGTCATGATCTCAGGGTCGTGAGATCGAGCCCTGCATCGGGCTCTAGACTGGGCAAGGAGCCTGCTTAAGAATCTCTCTATCCTCCTTCTGTCCACCGCCCCCCCACACTGCTCTCTCTTAAAAAAAAAAAAAAAGCTAAAACCCACTGTTTTCTTCTTCTCTACTTTCACATTACTTCTGTTTCAACGAATGTGTGGGTTTTGCACACCAAGCAATTCTGACCCTTATTATCTGGGGTTAGTGTAGACCGGGCAGGTTAAGGGCTCAGCCCCATGACACCACCCCCACCCCTGCTCTTCACATCCAGGCGGACACCTATGCTGCTCACCAGCTGGCTATGAATCAGGGGTTCCCACAACCCCTGCCAAGGGTTTGATAATTTGCTAGAGGGGCTCACAGAACTCAAGAAAACATTTTACTTACTAGATGACTGGTTTATTATAAAAGGATACAACTCAGGAACAGCCAGGTGGAAGAGGTGCACAGGGCAGGGTCCAGGGGAAATGTGGCAGAGCTTCTACACCCTCTGCACAGCGCTCTCCCAGCACCTCCGTGTGTCAGGGGCAGAGACCGAATATACTGCCTTTTTGGTATCACACTATCTCAGTGCTCAATAAATGGTAACTCTTCTATGGATATAATCACCACTGTATCTCTTGTGGGAAATAACAGAAGCTTAATAAATATTTGCTGGCAAGAGTCAGGCCAAGGGAGACTATGTAATATGATGAAAATGAGAACCTGAACGCCAAGGACAAAATCAGAGCCAGGAAATAAACAGCTGTGGTTTTGAGAGGGTATCAGCCCATCAGAGCGAGTGGCTTTGAAAAGTGAGGTGAGAATCCCAGGCATGTGTGTCCCCAGGAGTGCAACAGAAGTTTACTGGTAGAAGGTCCATAACCTTGAGGGAGACAGAGTGTGAGGAAGCACATGAGCCCCGCAGAGCCGTGGGCTAGCAATGAGCCCCAAGAAGTGTGCCTCCTTCCTGGCTCCCTCTTCCCGGAGGAGAAATGATAGAAAGTGCAGCCACAAAGCCTAGGAGAGGTGACCATGTGAGGTGAGGCAGGGTGAGTCCGGCTCCCCCCTCAGAGCCCCCTCCTCCCCCACCAGGAACCACAGAGCTGGACCGAGAATAAACCTTCTGGCTCTGGCTGCTGGGTCCCGCCTGTCTGCCCCCACCAGAGACCAACATTGCCGGCTTTGTCTAGACTCTTCTTTTTACCCAGTTCTTCCGGATTTGTCACATTCTTCTGGCTCTTCTTTAGAGTTCAGTTCGTCACTTGTTTATTTATTTTAATTATTATTATTATTTTTTTTAGAGAGAGAGAACATGCATGAGAGTGGGGTGGGGGTGGGGCAGAGGAAGACAGAGAATCTCAAGCAGGCTCCACGCCCAGCTCGGAGTCCAACCCAGGGCTTCATCTCACAACCCTGAGATCATGACCTGAACCGAAATCAAGAGTTGGATGCTTGACCGAATGAGTCACCCAGGCGCCCCACTTGTTTGATTTATAATACCAGTGAGTCCCCTCCTGTTTAACTGAACTCCTTTTAGTGTGTCTTCTTAGGATTGGAATGAATGCCTGATGGAATCTGTAACCTAAGTGCAGCCCTACTTGAGGTCACTAGAGAATGAAGACTCTCCAGAATTAGTTCTTTCTTTCTCCCTTCCCTTCCTTCCTTCTCTCTCTCTCTCCCCTCTCTCTCTGCCTCTCTCCCTCCTCCCCCTCCTGCTTCTTGGTTTTTTTTTTCTCTCTCTCTCTCTTTAACCCTAATAACATTCCAGCCACCTTCTCGGATTCCAGTATCTAGAACCAATATGGTGAGCAGCAAGCAAATAGCTCTGTAACGCTGGTTCTCAACCAAAGGTGCTTTTGCCCTCTACGAGACACTTGGCAATGTCTGAAGATACTTTTGGTTGTGACAACCCAGAGGAAGGGGGGATGTTGCTACTAACATCTAAGCGGATATAGGCCAGGGGTGCCGCTCAACATCCTACCACGCTACAGCACAGCCCCACAACCGAGTTAGCCTCTCCGAGTGTCAACGGTGCTGACACTGGGGAAGTCTGCTCCGGATAGCCACTCTTGCAGGCTGCCTTACGTGCGGATGGGCATGTGATCTGAAAGGGGACGCCCCCGCTGCCTGGCACAATGCTCTCGGAAAAGCTGGACCCGTTAGCTAAAGAACTTTTGGGGGATCCATATAGCATTCTCTTCAACAACGCTCTGACACTTAGCCTTACCAAACAGACAAACACAGAACACACTGGCTTTGTAAGAAATACTGCTCTATGGAGAGAAGATATCCTCACTCACAGCTTTCCGCGGGCTCCAACAGCACAGCCACAGGAACCTGTAAGTTTCCCTGTACTTGTTCTAATAACAAAGCCTCTCAAGTCTCCTTTATCACTGGGAATTAGACTACTACTAAATCAGACATCATGCTTTTTTTTTTTTTAAGAGAGGGTGGGAAAGCGCTTGCGGGGCAGAGGGAGAGGGAGAGAGAGAGTCTTAAGAAGTTTCCATGCCTACTGCAGAGCCCAACTTGGGGCTCAATCTCACAACCCTGCAATCCTGACCTAAGCCGGGCGCTCTCAGAGCCAGGCACTCAACGACTGAGCCACCCAGGCGCCCCAATCACACATCTTTCTAAGCAGACACACAGAGCTCCAATTCTCATCAGTGCTTACCTGGGTGGACAATCCTTTTCGCGGCACTTCTTCTGTTTCCCATTGGGCTGTGTTTCTGGGTCACAAAACGTAGCTTTCACCATCCCATGGCCCTTCTTCACACAATGGGCAGTCTGGCGGCGAATACCTGGGGGTCGGGTAGAAGGGTTCACACATATTAAATCTTGAGCCCACATGCTTAGTGTCAGGTGAGGCCCCTGGTCATGTCAAGTGATCATGCTTACGGCTGATGGGAAAGTTGTCCGTAGGGTGTCTGGTTTCTAAAGTGTGGATGAGGAATGGGGTCTCTAACGCACCCGTGCTGCAGCCGCCAGTGGGTGGAAGAGATCCTGCTTTAGAAGGACTACAGATAATACAGGTGGATTAATACATAATCTAACATATAGATTATAATCTAGCTGTGGAGACAAGACAAACACATATATGCCAAATAAAAACAAAGTGAGATTTTAAATAACGAAAGCAGATATTATGACCAGGTGTTATAACACAATTGCTACAGTTTAATAAAGGAACAGAGAAGGTAAGGAGCTTTATATTAGAAAACTCTGAAAGAAAGGAATAAAATTTAAAAGAATGTTATAAAGTTTGAGAGGCTATGTTTCCAAACTAGAGGGTTTGATAGCAGGGACTGATAATACCATTGTTCCCTGAGACCAGGTCGGTAATGTGAGTAAGAGGAGCACGGGGGGGGCGGGGGGGTGCGGGCGGTGGCAGGTTCCACACGCAAACCAAGCGCATCTGTAAGCTGGGTTTAACTTTGGAAAAATAATAACAGCGAACACACCCAGTGCTTGCCTTGTCCCAGGCACTGTTCAAAACTCTATGTGTATACAAATAGACAAATATATATAGACATACATAAATATATAAAGATGTGGGTTACTTATTATCTATTTTGATATATAATAACCCAAACCTCACAACAATCCAATGAGGTCAACACTGCCGTCATTCGCTATGTGCGAGATGAAATGAAGGCACAGTGAAGCCACACAGGTTGAGAGAGGAAAGGGACCACAGGTTCTGCTAAGTAAGACATCGTTAGCAAGAGAGGTTAGGGGAGTGGCCAGAATGTCACTGATGGAGAAGCGCAGGGACAGTGAGAAGAGAGTCTTCAGGCACCTTGAGAGGGTAATGCTTCAATGTTTGATGTGAAACACTGGGGGACAAGACCGAAGACTGGGACACCCGCCCCCGGGGCGGGGGACAGAGCAATCAGCCTGCACAAATCTTGGCGCCCTGAACTCTCAGGGCATCCAGGCCTTGAGTGGGCCTGCTGGTGTACGGAATTCCCAAATTGGAAAGGCCACGAGGAACCTACAAAGCTGGTCACCGCCTCACTTCGGCGCATGGAGGGGTTTCCCCACAGGCACGCAGCTGCAGGACCTGACCTGGAACCCGCTGTCCTGTCCGCCGCCTCACACCACCTCCCATGAGTTGTTCCAACCCAATCTCCTAGGCTGGCTTTCATACTCAGATGCCAGAGATCACATCTCATCACTTAAAAATGTCAGAGCGAGTTGTCATAGAGTCAGCAAATCCTTTAAAATGAATCAACAATATTTCTTTTCAAATTTTTTTTTGTTTTTTTAAAAAAGATTTTCTTACTTATTTATTTGTCAGAGAGAGAGAGCACAAGCAGGCGAATGGCAGGCAGAGGGAGAAGCAGGCTCCCCGCGGAGCAAGGAGCCCGACCCGGGGCTCGATCCCAGGACCCGGGGATCGTGACCTAAGCCGAAGGCAGATGCTCAAATGACTGAGCCACCCAGGCATCCCTGAATCAATATTTTATTGTTAAATAAAACAGCATTTTCTTCTTTTGGAGAGACAGGCAACCTTTCAACCACTCAGGCTTTCTCAACTGATACGACTATGTTATTCTTCTTTCATCATATAAATAAAACACTGTCAATAGCTGGAAGTAACGTCATAAAAGGAACTCCCATGGCACAAGGAAGGAGTCCTTGGATGGACACAAGCACCTGTAGAGACGTCTTAGACAACGTGAGCAGAATACAGGCTGAGGTGGTTGAAGCCAGAAACACTGGCGTGCACCTGCCATGGTAGAGCAAAAAAAGAGAAAAGCTTAGGTACTTAGAAATTTCATGAAAACTTTGGGTAGTGTGGCAAATTCTTAATATCAAAACCTAAAATGAAAATGTCAGGTGACTCTCAGAGGTTGGAAACATCCCCCAAAAAGGCTTGTTTCTGCGTATGAATAGCAAAGATAAGTGTCCTTGCTCAATGCTCCTGACTCCAGAAGTAGCAGAGGGGCACAAAATATTACATAAAATCCCTGTCGCAAAGTTAACAGTATTGCATGGGTCACTGTGCTGGCTCCGCAGCGAGCTGAACAGATGGACTGGCCAGGCAGATACCGTCGAATGCATAGGGCAAAATTAATAACGATGTGTCAGTTTCTCTTTTGGAATTAATGGTGTTTATCACTATATATTACTTGTAATTTATCTGACAAATACTCTCTATTTATGTGTATGATAAACTATATAAACTTCATTCCACAGCATATGCTTAAATCCATCTCAGTAAATGTTACTACTATTTTTATGAAGTCTTAAATATTAAAAAAGTCTTCCAAATCTTCACTTGGTTGACCCTACCTGACAATTATAGTGGATGAAGCCAGGTGGATTAGTACCGAGATGAATGCAATTTTAAAATAGTCAAAGAAGTATCTGACTCTGATTTTCCAAAGAAGTGAACAGTCTTCTCAACATCATCAGTATATGGTCACACATCAAGGTCAGATTCGAATGTGTGTCCTTATTTGTGATGCTCACACTTGGTTTTTTTTTGAGATTTTATTTATTTATTTGACAGAGAGAGAGTGAGAGAGCACAAGCAGAGGGAGCAGCAGAGGGAGAGGGAGAAGCTGACTCCCCACTGAGCAGGAAGCCCGATGCCTGGCTCCATCCCAGGACCCCAGGATCACGACCTGAGCAGGCAGATGCTTAACCAACTGAGCCACCCAGGTGCCCCGTGATTCTCATGCTTTATCAAGGATATGTGCACCTATGTCAAATGTATGTCAAACCTATGTCAAACGGTTACTTTGAGCTTTCATAATATTGAGGAAAGCTGTTCATTACAGCATTACAAAACTGTTTATAACTGCAAAATAGTGGAATGTATAAATAATGGTATATTTGCACAATGGAATAGTATGCAGCCCTTCAAGTGAATGTACTAGAGCTACTTTCATTAGTGTGGATTTATCTCAAAAGCATAATACTGAGTAAAACCAGCAAGACAACAAATGATACATAGAGTATGATACTATTTACAGAAAGCTTAAATGCCTGAGAAACAGTATTTTTTAATGTATATGGCTATTCACATGTATACTAAAATATTTAACAACATGCATGAAAATAATAAATACTGATTTCATGACCTTAATTAGCTCTGGGGAAAAAGGAAAGGGAGTGGAGTAAGGGAAGTGCTCTTCAAGTATATCTGTGCAATTTTTTTTCTTTAAACATGAAGATTGAAATAAGCATAAGTAATAGTAAGATCTGAGAAAGGTGAGTGGCCGGCATGCAAGAGTTTGTTGTTACATTCTCCATTTTCCTTGGACATTCATAAGGCTTCCCAGCGACAAAGTGTAAGGCTAAAATAATACAGTAACAGTAAAAACAAAAACAAAGTAGTTGCTACTACCTGTTTGTAACTCTTTTACTATAGGGATCAATTTGGTAATAAGTTTCTTAATATTACCATCATATTTACACTCTTTGAACCTAGAAATTCCAACTACAAATTACACTAATGAAATCATTCTTTACATGGAATCGGTTAAAGACATTTTGCTTTGTCTTGCCAGGGAAATATAACGCATCCATAAAAATGATAGCTGTGAAGATTGAGTAGCACTTGGCAAGGTTACCCATGTTACCACATTAAGTGAAGGCTTGTGTGTATGTACATAAATACACCCGTGTGCACACAACTAGATACGTCTAAGACTAGGAAAAAGGATACTGAAAGGCAACAAAGTACACAAATGCATATGCAGGGGGATGACTTTTTCTATTTCTAATTTTCCAGTAAGGTATTTAACTTACTTTTAAAATATAGGAAGTTTTTGCTCAAAGAAAATAAAATGACATCGTTGACTGATTCAGTGTTTCAGGCAGTCTTCCATCTTTATATTTAGCCACGTGTGTCCTAGGGGAATATTAGCATTTCACCCTCTGTGTCTGACAGCAGGAAAGTAGAAATGCTGTCTTTCTTCTCCGTCAGAGGAAGAGCGCTCACTGTCACTCAAAAAGGCAGTGGGACTGCGACTGGGACGAGCACATGGACCACTGTGGCAGCTCGCTGACAGTTCCTGTGAAGGTTGAACAACCAGGATGACGTCTGCCCACGCAGGCCGAGGGTCAGGCCGTTATCAACACCAAATGCCTCCTTCACATTTGGTCAGGCCACTTCATTTCCTAGCTAAGAAAAGCCTGCTTTCCGATGACTGCACAAATCAGCCAATTATCTTGTATGCCTATTCTCTGAAATACTGCATGTATAATGCAAAGAATTCATCCCATGCTGGAACAGAAGGGGGGGGTGTTCTCCTGTCCCCTGCCCATCTGGACTGGCTGAGTCTTCCCTCCCTGGGGTCCAGGGACAGATGATTTAAGCTTTGCAGCTACACCTGTACTTCGCTGAAAGAAGAGAAAAATGGGGATGAGAACTGGGAAAAGTATTGGTGACTACAGTCCCCACGACCTCATTTTCCTTGCAATTGCAGGGAAATAGTTTTCACGAACTGATTTTCTGCTTAAATTGCTCGAGCTCCCCGGCCAGCCCAGCCCCCTGGGCAGTGGGGTGGGGCATCTGGAAATGCTGTAGCTGCAGCCGTGGGGTGACACCATCGACACCGACCCCACAACCAATTGCTGCCACACAACCCACCTTGGACCCTAATCGATCTCCAGAGGCTTAGGATTTTCGAAACATCACACATTCTGAAATGAACATGATCCCCAGGATTTCTAAAAGCTAACCCTTCTTGGTTCCTGTACTGAAGGAGGGAAAGAAAGAAGCTAGTAATACAAACGTCGCTCATTAGGCTGATGGCACGTGACACAGTGTCTGCCGTTGGACCTCCTTCCAGGACTACTTCCTGGGGCAGGGGGAGAGCAGGTGGATGAGGGGTGCAGAGAGAGACACAGGATGTGGGAGAGAAGCCCATGGCGGAGCCAACTGGGTTCTACTGAACCTTTCACTCCTTCACTTTCACTCCCTTGGCTCCATTGCTGCAGCGGGCACTTGCCCCTGGTGGGGCCTTGGTTTATAGGCAGTAGAGACAGACTCAAGGCAGGAAGTTCCAGAACAGACTTGGACACGATCCGAAAGGAGACAGAGGTGGAGGACTTCTCATCCAGTACTATTAAAGCCCCCCAAACGAGTGCAGAGCCCCAGGTACGTGACAAGCCCAGACCCTGCCCTCCCAGGCCTCTGAGAATTTCATCTAGCCTGCAGCAGAGAGAGCCAGTGCCTTACAAATGTCCCTGTGCTTGTCCACAGTTCCTGGCTTCTCTCTGCAGTTACTGTACCCAGAGGACTAAGGCCAACCAACGAAAGGTGAACAGAAATGATCTGTGTCACCATCAGGCCAAAGCCCCAAGTAAGAGCCAGTCCGGGACACCTCGATGGCTCAGTCGTTAAGCGTCTGCCTTTGGATCAGGTCATGGTCCTGGGATCCTGGGATCGAACCCTGCATCAGGCTTCCTGCTCAGTGGGGAGTCTGCTTGTCATTCTCCCTTTGCTGCCGCTCCCCCTGCTTGTGCTCTCTCTCTCTTGCTCTCTCTCAAATAAATAAATAAAATATTAAAAAAAAAAGAGCCAGTCTGCCTTTTCCAATTCTTTCTTCTCCTGTGGGGCACACTGGGAGCCACACCTTTCAGATGTCTTAGCTCCAAAATGAAGCTGGGCCACCCAACCTGCATCAGACTTAGAATGGGTTAGAAATAAACCTACATCGTGTTGAATTCCTGAGATTCTGATTTCTTTATTATGGTAGCAGAACTTTGTCCATCCTGGGCACCTGGGTGGCTTGGTCGGTTTAGCAACAGACTCTTGATTCAGCTCAGGTCATGATCTCAGGGTTGTGAGATCAGCCCCACATAGGGCTCCGTGCCCCTCAGGGAACCTGCTTAAGATTCTCCCTCTCCCTCTCCCTCTGTCCCTCCTCTCTCTCTCAAATAAATAAATAAATCTTAAAAAAAAAAAGAATTTACTTCATCCTGACATACTTAACAGCAAGGAATCTCTCCAATGTTCGATTTTATGAGAGAAAACTACTCTCCTCATAGATACAAATACTTGGTAAATTGGAGACAGAAAAAAGAACAATGGATGGGAATCAGGAGAGCTTGTTATGGTCTGGATTTGGCCATTGTTTACAGTCTGCCTCTGGGTGGGGTGTTTGACTTGTGTAGGAGTCAGGTCCTCACCAGGTTATTAAGGCTTTCTGTTTTGCTTTTTAAAACACATGTAATGGAGCACTGGGTGTTATACACAAACAATGAATCATGGAACACTACCTCAAAAACTAATGATGTACTGTATGGTGACTGACATAACGTAATAAAATAAAATAAAATTTATAAAAATAGATAAAGATAAAACCCATGTAATACTGTATTGTATTCTTGAAAGTTGCTAAGCGAGCAGATCTTAAATGTTCTCACCACACCCAAAAAAGGTATGTGGGGTGATGGGTGTGGTGGCTGACCTGATATGGTAAACATTTCACAACATTCACGTGTACCAAGTCGTCCAGTTGTAGACCTTAAACTTACACAATGTTTTGTGTGGGTTATAGCTCAAGAAAGCTGAAAACAAAACAAAGCAAAGACACGTAACACTTTTTTCAAACAAAACCTTTCATGAAGGACAGTATAAAGGGAAAACTGTCTCTGTCTTTAGACCATGACCAGCATATTCACTCCCACAGAGGCCCCTGGGCCATGTGTGTGGAAGGCTGGGACCTCTGGGCACCACCCGATGGCCCCGCATGAAGCGGACATGGATTCACGCACACAGCGGCTGTCGCTCACCTGTCCCACATGTTACACTGCACTCAGTCCAACGGCCATACTGCCAGGAATACCCCAGTTTTTCCACTTCGTTGGCAAGGCCATCTTTCCGGATTGTGTACTCGTACTTGATGCCGGGGTTAGTCACCTGGAACAGCAACTAAAAGGCAAAAGAGGGGTGACAATGCTGTCATGACTTGATACTACAGAACACAGCTGTGTGACTACACTACAGAATGCCCATCGTCTTAGGGACGAAGGCATGCATCAGAGAAAATGCCAACAAATGAACGTATCTCCACCTCTGCCTCTACGTCCACCGATACCCATCTCTCTGTAGCTCCGTCTACCTACATCCGTGTCTTTACCTCTCTATACCTCCTGTCTATTTGATCATTTCTTGGCTGAATTCCCACGGAGGTCTAATCCTGTGGAAACTGCTCTGAGGGAATGGGGTAGCATCTTTTCCGACTACAGACCGGTGGGCCACCTTGCACTCCTGTGAACTTACTAACTTGGTGATTACGGGTAAGTTACTTAATCTCTTTGTGCCTTAGTTTCCCCATTTACAAAGTGAGGATAATAATAGCATGACTAATAAGGTTGTTGTGAGAGTTCAGTAAGTAAATAAATGTACAGTGATTCGCATGAAGAGAATAGTGCCTGGCACATAGTTAGCATTCTATAAACACTGACACTTATTGTTTATAACTAGCTGTCATCTTATGATACTCTTCTCCAGCTCTCAGGCTGGTTAGTTCCTTTAAAGCATACGGCTCTGGGGTAAAAACTGTCATGGGCTTGAGCAAGGCATACCACTCTTGGGGCCTTCTCCTCACTTCTGTCTCCTGCAGGCAATCTACTTATCACACGTTTACTTTTTTTAAGATTTTTTTTTTATTTACTTATTTTAGAGAGCGAGCGAGTGAGCATGAGAGCAGGGCAAGGGGCACAAGGAGAGGGAAAGAATCCCAAGTGGACTCCACACTGAGCACAGAGCCTGACATGGGGCCGATCTCACGACCTTGAGATCACAACCTGAGCAGAAGCCAAGAGTCAGACACTCAACTGACTGAGCCACGCAGGCGCCCCTTACTACACATTTAAAATGGATTAATCTTAAACTTAGAGGTGCTGGATGGTTGCTCCTTGGGATCGGGGTTCCCGTATATGAATCCTTCACCATGCAAGCAAGTAAGATGTCAGGTAGACATTTATGAATCACAGCTGTCAAGCCTTGGTTTCTGGCTTTTGTGAGCGCTCTGATCTCTGGCTCTGGAATCACCTCCCTCTAACTTCTGAATATGGTTAGATCTGACTCTTGGGCCATTTGTCATCCCCAACCTGCCTCGTCTCTACTGGTATAATGATTCCACTCTTTCTCTATGGTTCCTTGCCAACACAAAAGGTGAATCACCCGTGTCTTTAAGGTGCACATACTACATTCTGACCCCCTCCCCCCCTAAGAGTTTCACAAAGTCAAACCTCCTGCCTACAAACAACCACATGGTAACATATGAAAAAACCATGTCAGTCCATCACCACTGCTGGAAAGCTACCTGGAAGCTCACGCCAGACCAACATCGACTGACAGCACCCTCTGTACACCTGAGAAACAATCACCCTCAGATGAACAGCCTATGTCAATCATACTGGAAGCTGAATTCAAAACTCCCAATAGATGACTTCAGGGCCCACGGCACTTCATTATCGGGGTTTCAGCAATTTTTAGGCAATAAAGGATTAACAACACAAAATAATATCTTGCTTTCCTCCCTGCTCCTTGTTAAAAGAAGTTTTAAGGGTTCTGAATGAGTGTCCCCTAACAAACACCTTGGAAAAGAAAATCAGAAACACCCTAACTAATATACACATGAGCAGCTGCCTTTGCTTCTGCATTACCTGGATCCACACCGACTCATTGGTGGGACCCGTGGCCATCAGTCTCTCCAGGTCTCCTTTCCTGTCATATTGGAAGGTGGTCCCCGCCAGCTTGTAGTTCCCATTCCACTGGATAATGAATCCTCCATTGAGGTAATATTTTTGGGGGTCTTCACTCCTGATGGCCAAAAAGTTTCCAGCTCCCTCAACCTCCATTACCCGTATGTCCCTTGCTCCTTTTGGAATCAGTCCGATGTCAACATAACCTAAGGAGAGAAGACACGATAATGAAAAAGGCACACTAGCTTAGCTGAACACAATCTGTTTCTGAGCCATCGTTCAAGCCCACTGTTTAGCGCCCTTGCCTTCCTCCTGGGTGGTCACTGGGATGAGCAGATGCAGTAGTCATGGGGAATTTTAAAGAGCTTGGCCAGGAGTGGAATGCCCAGGAGCTCTGTGACTCAGGATGCACACAGTTTTGTGAGAAGAGATGAAATAAATGCAGACTGGACCCTGAAATGTTTGTGGTTGATCCAGCATTGACTTTTCTGCGATTTTAAGTTGAGAGTTGACAGCCCTTAACTAGCTCTCCATTTGCATTTCTGCTCCCCCATTTGTTGCTGCTATCAGATGAATCTTTTCAACATTGCCCTGGGTACACCCTTCTCCTCATTCGTCCTCACTGCCTGCAAGTTAAAGACAGACTCTTAGAAATAATCTAATCATAGCTTAAATTCATTAAGAGAATCCCTGAGGGAATCTTGGATTGATTTGCCACCTGGCGCTCTTGAATATAGCTTGTGATGAGAAACTCAGCTCGCTCTGAGCACAGCTTTTTATATTGCTGGACAATTCTCTTCATTAGGTTTTTTTTTCTTACTTTTTATGTTTTGCTGAAATATGAACTTACATTCTACTTTTGTGAAAAAGCACAGAGGGCATCCATTTAAAAATGGCGATCAATTCTAGGTATAGTCCTACCCTTATTTACTGGTTGTCATGGCAGGAGACATGCTGGGGACAAAAGGAATTAACACATAATGGTTTCCTCCCTTAGGCAGACTCTGCGCTAAGCACCTTATGCATTTATCCTATTTGTGCTTCTTACGAATCATGACCTCATAAATGTGATAGAATGGAAAGAACATGGACTTTGGGGATGACATGCAAACGTGCTAGGGCAGGGGGCCAGAACACGTGAGTCCTAGTTCCTGCATCATCTTGAGTGAGCTCTATGGTGTTCATTGACTTATGTAACGTCTTCGAACGTCATCTGCACAATGAAGGGGCTCCAACAAGATGATGTCTGACATCCCTCACAACTCTGATATTCAATTGTTTTTCTCTCTTCCAAGTGAAACATTCTTTTTTCTTTTAACCTTCCCGTACAAATGCTGGCTTTAAGGCCCTGATCATCCTGGTCATTTTGCACTGGAGAGATACTAGGTTTTTCAACCACAAGCAAACCTTCATCTCTGTCACCTGAAAGTGCCTCAACCATTTCTTCTCCCTGAGACACTACAGTAGTGGGGAGTCCTGGGGAGCTCAAATCCTAGGGCTGGCCAGGATGTACGATTTGCTCAGAAGCTCAGGCCACACCCTCAGCTCCATTTTTCAAACTGGCAGCTCCCATCCAGCCAGACCAAAATGCAGGTCTTGTAGTATTTGATTCAATTCCATTTGGCCCTAACAATACCTGCCTGAAATAGCTGATTAAAACTACAAATTTTTTAAAAAGATTTTATTTATTTGAGAGAGAAAGAGAGAGAGAAAGAGAGAGAGAGAATGTGAGCAGGGAGGGCCAGAGGGAGACAGAGAGAATCTGAAGCAGATTCTGCACTGAGCATGGAGCACAATGCAGGGCTCGAGCTCACGACCCTGAGATCATGACCTGAGCCGAAACCAAGAGTCAGACACTCAACCGACTGTGCCACCCACGTGCCCTAAAACTATAAATTTATAACTAGCTCAGGGAAAATATTTATCACGTGTAATTGAGGCTAATGTAATTTTCTGAAATGCCTTTGGAGTGTTGTGACCAGCAGCCACTTTCTGACTTGGGATGTCGCATGCCTTCTCATAGCAGAACTCATTCAGGAAAATCAACTGGCATGAAATATTGTGGTGACCACCTTATCTCCTTTGTTTACAGACAAACAACAAAACAACCGCCCCCCAAAAAAACAATGAGAACTAGATGGAAAAAAATCCAAAAGAGTTTGTTTTTTATCTTTCACTTAAGAGAGAAAATCCAAAATTAGAAATGTTTATCATGGCAGATTCTGCCAAATTCAAATGGGAGGTACATCAAATTAGAATAAAAGTTTTCAGTGACTATAAGTGCTGCTTCTGAACAGTTTACATACAGAAGATGTAAACCGAGACAGATTTAGCCATGAGTCAAAGTAATGCACATTTACAAATATATATATTTGTAAAAGAATATCTAAGGGGAAGCCAAAAAATAAAATTATGGTAATTTGGAGTTAAAAATAACCACGATATATCCACCAGACTCCTTTGCACATGACCACAAAAGCCCACACTTTAGAAGAGTATAAAAGGAAAAGTAAAAATTTCAATTTTCCTTCATCCCCAGTCCTATGTTCCAAAGACAATTACAGTGAATGGTTTATTGGATTTCTCTTCCAAAATCTTCGTTTGCATGTATAAGCAATTTTTTAAACAAGTGGGATCATATTACATGAACTATTCCAACTATTGCTTTTTAAATTTAATATACCTTACATATCTTTCCATATTTTTTGAGCATTTCAACAACAGCAAAAATGACATAAACCCATTTATTTAACCAATCTGCTATTAATGGACATTTAATTGGAAATGAATGGCTACAAACATTTCTGCTTACCAAGTGAGAAAACTGAGTTCCCACGAAGGGGAGAAATCTATGCCACATCACACACCTAGGTGGAAAGTACATATACCTATATCTAGGGTTGGCTAACAAACTCTTAAAATTGTGTTTTTAATAAAAAAATGTGGTTGGTAGAAAGAGTTTTAAAAAATCTTTTGAGTATCTTATCCTCAAGGGTCTTCCTTACAGAAATGAGAATCTTATTTAAAGTAAGGGTGGAAAGTCACTTAGACATTTATTCCGTGTCAAAGGAAGGCTTTCAGGGTTGGTAAGACTCTCTCCAAAGTGTTAAGAATGGTGAATTTTTCATTCATAAAATCACTTCTCTCCCACCTTCCCTAGTAAACATTAGTCATTTGCACTAGTACTGGGGCAATAATGGGAAAATTGGGGAAGTAGGAAAATGTAATCTTGACCTCAAGAAAGGAGTCTGGGCCCATGCAGACTCACCTGGAGAAAACATCCCATCACTGAGTCCTGAGCCCCTTGAGCTGAAAGAATACTCAGGGCCTGTGGGGATGGGGCAGAAGAGTGGCCTCACTTCGGAATTATCGCAAGAGCTACAATAGATCATTGGTGCTAAAGCACATCTTATCCAACTGTTCTTTGTAATCCACCAAAAAGGATTTACCCAGTAGCATATGTGGTTTCCAGTCTGTCACTTCTAATAAAAAATGTGCTCATAAAGAGGTCATACTATTAACCCCAGATATCTTTTTAAAGCTCATCTTTTTAAAAAGATTTATGCTGTCAGTTTGAGGTGAGCAAAACAATCCACACTGCGGGCCCAAATCTTATGGTTTAATGTGAGGAGGCTCCTCGGAAAAGCCAGTCCATCTTCTGATGCTTGCCTTGACAGCAATGACAAGTCAATGTCAAGTTCAGGTACAACCCTGCATTTGACCCGCTCCCAAATCAGAGAAAGTAAGAATTATGTACACATAAATGTGTCCAGCAGATCTTTTGAGAAGTCCAAGTGCCATGACCTACATTGAGAGTTTTAGCTTCAATTATTTCCAAAAGCGGGTGGTAAGGGCACCAGAAGCTTGGCACGCGCAATGAGCAACCACAGCCCTCTCGCTCGAGGCCAGAGGAAAGGAAACACAGAAGAGGGAACAGATGTTGATAGGGGCTTCCTGACCCTAAATGCTTCTGGGACAAAGAGTGGCAGCCCGGGGCTCTCTTGATAGGAACACTGTCACGTAGAGGGCCCAGGCCCTCTCCTTCCCTTCCATTCCTTCCAGTCTGGGATTTCTCAGAAAACATGATCTAGGACAGTCTCCACGTAAGGTGATATTCTGGTTTCAAGGAAGCCACATCCCTTCTTCTTGTGATGCATTACCTTCTGCCTCAGACTTCCTCTGAAATGTTTTCTTATAAGAGTCTCATCCTGTCTTTGTGGACTCATCTCCTAGCCCTGGGCTCCCCTGTCCCAGGCAGTTGTGTGTGTTGTTGGCAAATCAGTCTTCTCGGACACTGACCTCCTTGTGTCATTCACCCACCTGAAATCGCACAGCAGACCCCATTCTCTCTGAAGCCAATAGCAAACTGAACCTTGCAGTGGAGCGTAGAGACAACTTTGTGTCATGAAGCCATGTCATCGGTTCCTAGAAGTGTCTCTTCCTTCTCACTGCCCAGACTTGTAGCTGGACCTCGCATGTACTGCCACCACAGCCCCCCAACCTGTGTCGTGAGGTGTTCTCGATGGGTTCCATTCCTTCATGAGTTTCCTCGGTGTGTCACAGAGACTAAGTGGCCCCAAGAAAAAGTCCAGAATCTGCCTCATTATGGGATTAAGACAGCAATCTTAACCTAACTTGAAACTGGTGTCAATTCCTAACTCTAGGTGAATCCAACCAAGAAGATCAGTGGCAGAGACTAGGGAGCTACACCTGGAAGAAGGAAGCACATAAACATACAGGCTCGAGAAGTGGGTGGGTATCCAAGAGGTCAGGTTCGAGCATAATCCCAGGCAGTTGCTTCTTTCACTACATTCCAGGAATCTCCTAAAGGTGTGGATACCAGCAGCAAGGGTTTCTAGAAGAAACTTTCTGTGCCCTTCCTCTGCTTTCTAGACTGCAGATTTTTTTTCGTTGTGAAAATGAAATTGTGACGTATATCAGAGGAAACCAAATTAATTTAAATATGCCAAGAGAGTTACAATAACTCTACGATGGGCATCAGACCCACTAAACAGATATGCAAGTGTATTTAATATATATTTCATAATATTTAGTAAGGAGAACAGATATTAAGAGTCTGAGCACATTGCTGTTATGATGAAATAAGGGAGGTAGGATTCAAGGCTGCCAGTCTGGGCAGTGAGGTAAGTGATACAATTACCTGCATGAGAGTCCCAGGGCGCTCAGAGAATGGGGTCCCTTTTTCCCGGCACCAGATCAAAGCAGCCAGTGTGAGCAAAACCAGGACGTGGTTTCGTGGTCACTGGGTCTGGCATTAGTCAAGTCTCGAGACGCCAAGCAAGGCCAGAGGAGTCAAGAGTGGTCATTTTAGGAAGCCAGTGAATTAGTCCAAGAGGCTAAAAACTGTCAGGTTTTAACATTTAAGACCAAGGTAGGTGAGTCATACAGAATCAAGGAAATTAGGCAACAGGAAAAAAAAATCCAAGCCTGAGGAACTAGACGACAATGGGTCAGTGTTGTAGGCCAAAAAGAATGGGCTACAAGAGTTTGGGATGAAGGTCAATGTTGTGGGTAACAAGCCCAGGGTGCCCTTGGAAGAACAGAGCTTAATCTCTACCACTTCCTTCTGAACCAGGCTCTTTATTTAAGTTCTGCCTCAGGGCCACATGGCAGAGTGGAGCCCAGGCCTGTTACCTGGGCAGGGTAAGGCAGAGAAGGCAGTGGAAAGAGTCATTTTTTTATTCGTCATTCTATCCCCCATGCCAAGCACAAAATAGATAGTCAATGTTTCTCAAGTAATAGAGTGAATGAATAAATGGACCTAAGTTCTTTAATGCCAGACACTTCTACTCACAGTAACCATGGCACTATCCCAAGAGGGCAATTCTTTTTTCTTTCTCTAAGAGAGGAAATGGAAGCTATTCTGAAGGGTCTACAAGAAAGTGGGCCTTATGTTCCCCAAGTGTGACACTAACTAAAAGGCATGATGCTGCCATGTGACGGCACAGTGTCAAATCTACTAAATGAGTTCCTCTTCACAGAGGTAGACAGGGACTTAGTTGTTGGGACAGTCCAAGAAGGCCATGGATAAAGACACCTTCTCCTGGAGACTCAGACCAATTTCAACACTTAGATATCAACAAACAAAGGATCAGCCTTAGGGCTGAGGGCAGGGGGAAGATAAAAAAAATACCAGACAGAGTTGAAAGGGGCCTCACAAATGGAGGTACAATGGGGTGATTTCCCCATGGCCAGTGGTAATCTAGATCAGCGCCTGGTCTCTTGTTTCCCAGCCTATTTTAATTCCACATCATCCATCATCTTCCCTCTTTCTTAGGAGCACTCACCAAACCAAACCAAACCAAACCAAACAACAATAAAAAGGAGGAAAAGGGACTTGGCTAATATTTTATGCTTCCATAGTCAAAGGGAGCAGCAGTGAGAGAGGAGGAGAAGCTGGGTCTGACCACCATGTGCATCTCTACTGCAGATTTCTCCACCTACACTTTTGTTTTAAACCACTCTATTAAAAGAGAGCCACAAGCCAAACTAAACAGGAAGGAAGAAGAACACAAGTAGACACATGGGTCAGTGAGGCTATGCAAGGTTTGAAAGAGTTTTGGATTCTTCTAGGTGACTGATTACCTATTCCCATTATTTCCTAGTCACAGAGATGATCTTGCCTCAAGTGCTAGCGGTACCTGTTGCCCAAGTTCACTGTTTTTCTGGTGTCGTCTGATGGTTGTTAACTTCGCTCAGAAAGGAGACACTGGGTTTTCTCTCAAGGTCATGGTTGTGATAACAAGGCTCTGGAGATCTGACGCATAAGTGCCAGGATGATGAAGCCATCTCTCCAACCACAGCCCCCATGTAACTGACTGCAGAAACATACTTGCTCTGGAAGAATCCTCCTTCAGGGCTCACCTCCTATCACAGATTCTTGAAGGTGCCTCGACCAGGGAGACGAAGTTACAGTGTGAACCCCCCAAGCCAATCACTGCCACCCACCAAAGAAACCGCAGTTCTTCTTTTTTATTTTTTTAAGAAACCACAGTTGAGGGTGGAGACACAAGGAGAAAAGAATACTTCAGGATATGTATAAGAAGGGGAAAACTCTGAGATTTATGTCTTTGGGCCACAGTAAGAAAGTGACCCAAACCCAGTATTATAATATTAGGTTTACAATATTACAGTTGCAATATTGTACCAATTCATGTTAAAACAAAAACAAAACAAGAACAACCAGAGCTACAACACTACAGCTAAGCCGGCAGGACAACACAGAGGAAAAATATCCAATATTCCTTCAACATAACTGTAAAACAGCCAATGATTTGTCTCCTTTATTGTCAAAGGGATATGGAATCAACCTTAAGAAAACCTTTTTTCATTTGCATTTATATGAGCGCTTATTGAATACTTCCTACAGATAGAAATAACATTTGCTGACTTGGGGTTGGGCAGGGTGGCGACAAAGCCTAAAAGACAATTCACCCCTCAGTTTACAACTGCACTAGAGAGAAAGAATACAACATAAGGAGAAGTAAGGCAGCATGTGAATACATACAGAAAGCAACTATGCCTTGGGTATCTTCAAAAAGAGGATATGAAGTTCCCTCTTTTGACTTTGGCCTTCGAGTTAATCAGTCTGCCCAGAGCCATCCCACTCCATTTCCCATAGTTTTGCCTTATTTCTTGGTTTCATTCCTATAGTGGAGTGGTGGCAGCCAGGGCATGCAGCAAAGGTGGGATCTGCCTGGTGGGTAAAAGGAACACAGACGACCCTGCTGGGTGTTAACAGGGTCCAGAGTGAGATCTGGCTGGATTTCCTCACTGTGCTGGGGTTAGCAGTGCCAGAGAGCCTTGAGGCTTTCTCAGGATACACACAGTCTAAAGTTGACACCCCTCTCTGAGTGCCAAGGGCCAGCAGAAGCTCTCTGGGAAGCAAATGGGAGAAGGACTGCAAATCAAAGGCAAGAGGGATGCCAAATATTCGGTGCTGGGCATGTGGCTGGAGGCATTAAGGTCTCTAAGGCAGGGGTGGGGGTGGGAGGGAGGCTCCAGATGCTTCTGGTCTTTTCCCTCACTCCCAAGAAACCAGGGTAGAGTCAAGAATCCAGAACCAAAGCCCAGTTTCCTAAGGGCTTAGTTAAAAGGTTAAGTGGTGGACATTTGAGAATGAAAACTGCTTTTCAAAAGAGTTACCATAATGTTAGGAGCATAGCATATCTGAGGGCAAAAATAGGAACTCCCATAGATAAACAAACAATAGGGAGAGTAAATGTAGAAACGTGATTTTAAGGGTGACTTTATAATCCAAGTAAATAAGGTCACATCTAACTAACAGAAAATATTTACACAGCAACTTTATAAGACTGAATAAATATTAGCTATTTATTTATCATACGCCTAAGACACACTGGGTTATCATTCACATTCCAAATAAGTGATTCAAAGGACAGGTTTCACGCATACGAAAGCCATCAAATAGACATAAATATAGTCCTTCAGTGATAATTCTAAAGGGCAAGATAAGCATTTCACTTTACAATTTAACCTTATTAATTCAATAGTCAAAAATCAAAAAATTGGGATGAAATTAAACAAATTCAGGTCGTCCTCTGTGATGTGTCCTAGGGGCCAAAAGGGCCTTTAATCAATGCACCTGATACTCGAGGGCATACTTAGTAACTTCATCCTGGGCGAAGAGCATGTCTAAAAGAGAGGCACTACTTTGTCGGGACCCAGGAAAAGGGTGGCCCACTACATCCGGGAGTCCCTGTCACTTCCGGCCCCGGGTAACGCTCCAGTGTAGACACCGCCCCTCTCTCCTCAGGCCCTACCTGGGGCGTGCACGGTGGACTCCCTACTCTCAGCACCTGCATTTCTTTGGAATCCAGAGAATTAACAACCTAACCGCCCCCTCCTCAAAGTAGCCTCAAGCAGTGACCGGCAAGAATTGGCATATATGGTCTCAGCTCCTTCACCCCTTGGGTGGGGAAATTCCAATGTACAACTTCGACACTGGCTCCTATATAATGGTCACTGGCTTAATGACGCACTCTTTCTTTGCTCTCCTCCTTTCCCCATTTCACTTCTTGAATGCCCTACTGGTGTTTTCCAGGATCCCCCGACCCGCAAACAAACTCTTGGTTCCTGAATTCTTGTCTTAAGGTATTTCTAGGGGAGCCTAAACTTTGATACTCCGAGTCGTCTTCCCCACCTCTGGGCCTCACTTAGCCTCCTCCCAAGACCGCTTCAGCTATCAATCACTGCTGGTGCCAAGGGACTGGCAGTTTCAACTGAAGACAAACAGGCAGGGCTCATGGCTGATTCGGGGTGAGGGTGGGCTCTTTATTCCCGAGGATTATTAGTAGCCCAGAGCCGCACAAAGCAGAAATCTTGTGGAAGGTCATCATGGGAAAGGAACAGCAGAGCGTGGGTCAGGAGAGGACGTCAGGTGGCAGCCGCCACCTGGGTCACCATAGGGCGGCAGGGGGTGGGACCCCCTTCTTGGGAGAGATGGGGAAGAAGAGCAAGCCCAAGCCACCCTGCCTTGCCTCTCCTCTGTCCCTGAAGGTGCACTCCGAGCCTTCTGCCTTGAAGCCCACTGCTGGCTTCTCTGCCCTCTCCCTGAGAGCCCGCCCTGTGTCTGCACCCTTCATGGCCGGCTTTTGAGCTCCGTCTCCCCCAGTCCAGTTCGAGGTCCATTCCTACACCACTGGCTTCAGCCCTGGATGCTCTCCTAGGAATGACACTCATTCCCGTTCCCGGGGACAGCCCCCAGGCAGTGGGAGACTTAGATCCCCGTGCAGTGGGAGACTTCCTGTAAGTGCCCAGCAATTAGCCCCATCCCTAAACCTGTCAGGGAGCCCTTATGCCTTTGTCTGGAAGGCTAGGTCCGTGCGGAGTTCTTTGAAAGTTACAATCTGTTTTAAAACACAGCCATTCATCTTGCCCTCCGTTCTCAGTCCCCTGCCACTTCCATTATTTGTTTGTTACCAGATCCTTCTTTCTGCTTAAACATCTTCTTCACGGTCTGGCAGGCAGAGCCATCCCCAAGGCACACCCCGCAGCGATCCTCCGTGGCATTGGAGCCGATTTCGTAGTCACAGCCGACCATCTGTGGGGAAGAGAGGCGAAGGGTCACCAACACGGACAGGGGACACCACACCCGCCTTCTCCTTTTCCCCTTCCCTTTTGATGAGATCGGGGCTGGGGACAGATACAGGGACAAACGGTTCCTGTCCCTGGGGGCAGCCAGAGGAGTAACCACAGCATCCACTGATGGTAAAGGCACTACCTGGTTAGGGGGACAGAGGGCCACACTGAGTGGGTATCTGGTTTCCCCTGAGTCACAGGCAGAATTGAACACAGTTCCAAACATTTAACATCGAAAATGTCTTGGAATCAGAGCTGCTGGAGCAGTAAACCCCCTTCTGATGTGCAAACCTCATGTCCCCTCGTCTCTGGTGAGAATTCCCGGAGATGATGGAGTTACTCCGCCTATAAAGTGGTGGTTCAGTCCCTTAACGCGCCTCCCTGGGGTGATCCCTGCTTCCTGTCTGAGCACAGCGGGTGAGCCAGCGGCCACCGAGAAGGGCTGGCTCAATGCTGACACTCCGTCAGTCCCATGAGGGGTGACATCTCTGACCTGTGGACCATCATCAGATGCTCTGCAGCCTCCTAAGACCCAGCCCCCACTGCACCTCACACGTAGCCGTATCCCAGCCATCGTGAGCTTTCTCCTGTGAGCCGAGACTGACTTCGCCCATGCTCTGGATCGGATCCCTTCCCAGGGCTCTGCCCATCGGCCCTTCTCTGTCACCTTTCCCTCGCCATGGATCCTTCTCCTCGGCCAAGTCTTTCCCACCCGAAAATCCCCATGCTGGGAAAGGAGAGCAATTAAACTGGGGGTGTTCAGTAGCATCAGAAACCAAAAAATCATGACACTTAGACAGAAAGTCATGAAACACACGAGCCTCCCCTGGAGGTCTTTGTTGCTTGCTCTCTGGCCAAAGAGAGAGGGAAATTGGACCATATTCTACTAGTCAGACTTCTTGCAAAGAAGTGTGTCTACGCAGTTTTATTTTTTTTTTCTCCTTCAAGGATAATTCCCTTGTTTTATTTTTTATATTTCTAAGTTCGTGTTTTAATTCCAGTAGAGTTAACATGCAGTGTTCTATCAGTTTCAGGTGTACAGTACAGTGACTGGGTACCTCCACAGAGAAGCGGTGCTCATCACATTTCCTTTCTTATTTTAGAGCCAACTCAAATCAACTGAAAGGAAGAACAGTTTGGGTTTTTAAATATACCCTCCCTCCACCAGCTGAACAGAGAATTAATGGCCAGTGACAGAGAATACCGCCATTTCCCAGTTGGGAAAAAATGAAGTGCTAAGAGATTTTAAAAAATTAATCATGCTAATCACAATAAGAAAAAGAAACTCTCTGGATGTGTACTCAGTGGTCACGAGTAACATGTCAGCCCTTCACAAGTGCTATGTTTACATCAAGCTTGAGCATACTCTGATAAGCCGATCTTCACAGATCATACCCCCAGAGACTTTCATTCCTTCACTCATTTGGGATGAGCCAGGAAATCAACTGGGAGACACAGTAAAGTGTTTTCTCAAATCTCTACCAGAAGAGGATAGACACAAATGTGAAGAATATTATTAAGAAAGCCAGGAAAACAAATACAGTGAGCCCATTTTTCTTCTCCAGCAATATCCGTCTGCATACTTGGGGCTGGAGGTGGGGGTTGGGGGAGGAAGACAAGGCATATTTGCGGTCCTACAGCATATTCAAGGGGTCCTTGTAGAGGCTTCACCTCAACTGCTTCTCCCATCAGCGGCACCCAGCACAAGCAACACTGAGTCCAGGGTCTAACACGAAGCCTAGGAAGACAGAAGCCATTCTCCCTTGCTGCACATAAATGCTGCACATTTCCCAGGGGAAAACAAACAGATGTCACTCTGCTTTTTCGCGCCATGTGCTCTGGCAAGGGGGCCCACAACAATATTGTCTTTCCGCCTGCAGCAGAATCAGAGGTGGCTTTCCTGCAGCTACCAAACGTGGACAATGAGTCCAGCAAGGATCTCCTCAGATGGGACTCCTCACATGCCTGACTGCTACTCCAATGAGCAACATTAAAAAAAAATAATTTAGATTTCCCATTATATAATTTCTTTCTTTAAAAAACAGCTTTGTTGGGGCACCTGGGCGACTCAGTTGGTTAAGCGTCTGTCTTTGGCTCAGGTCATGATCCCGGGGTTTTGGGATCGAGCCCCGGGTCCAGCTCCCTGCTCCGTGTGGAGCCTGCTTCTCCCTCTCCCTCTGCCTGCCACTCCCCTGGCTTGTGTGCACTCCGTCAAATAAATAAATAAAGTCTTTAAAAAAAATGCCTAAGGGACTTCTGTGAGTCCCAATTTCCTCATCTTTAAAAAAATAAATTAATCAAAATTAAAATTAAAAATTAAAAACAGCTTTATTGAGGCATAGCACATATAGAAAATACTGTCCACATTTAATGTAAACAACTTGATGAGTTTGGATTTACACAAATACCGGCGAAACCATCACTTACAATCGAGGTAACAGGCATAGCCATCTTCACCCCCAAGTTCCCTTGTGACTCTTCCTGTGTGTGTGCTAAGAAACTTTAGTGGGGGATCTAGGCTCTCAACACATTTTTAAGTGGACAATACAGTATATCAACCATAAGCACCATATCCACAGTGATGTCTAGGACTTGGCATCTTGCCTGACTGAAACTTTGTACCCATTGAACAACAACTCTCCACGGTTCCCTCTCCTCAGCCCTTGGCTTCCCTGTTTTATTCTTAGCTTTTTTGAGGCTGACCATTGTAGATTCTCACATAAGCAGAATCATGTGGAGTTTGTTCCTCTGTGAGGGTCTTGTTTCACTGAGCCTAATGTCCTCCAGACTCATCAGACTCATCCCTATCGTCACAATGGCAGGATTTCCCTTTTTTCAAAAGCTGAATAATATTCCATGGTATGGATACAACATGGTATATACCACATTTTCTTTGTCCACTCATCTGTTGATGGACATTTGGGTTGTTTTCATAGGTTGGCTGTTGTAAATACTGCTGTAATGAACATGGGAGTACAGATATTTCTTCAAGATCCTGATTGCAATTCTTTTGGATACACACCCAGAAATCCCATGTCTGGGTCATATGGTAGGTTCTGTTTTTAATTTTTTGAGGAAACCTGAATTTTGTTTTCTATAATGGCTGCATAATTGTACATTCCCACCAACAGTATGCAGGGTTGCCATTTCTCCACATCTTCAGCAACACTTATCTTTTGGGTTTTTTGAAGACAGCCATCCTAACAGGTGTGAGGGGTATCTTATTGTGGGTTTGTTTAATAGTGTTAAACACCTATTCATATACCCATTTGTATGTCTTCTCTGGAGAAATATCTATTCAAGTCCTTTGCTCATTCTTTTAATCAGGTTATTTGTTTTTCTGCTATTGAGTTGTAAGAGTTCCTTACACATTTTAGATATTAATCCCTTGTCATATATATGGTTGCAAATATTTTCTCATTCTGTAGATTGCCTTTTTATTCAAATGATTATGTCCTCTCTGTCAGAAACATATCACCAACTCTTGACCCTGTCATTTGGACTAAAGTGCACACTGTCTTGAGTATTAGAGAATTCAGGTTCCAGGCTTTCATCCAGGCCTCCAGCTCTGTTAGTAAATGCATAATATGTATTCTTAGCAATTCTCACATTTTGCTTATGAGTTAACACTGTTTTACTTTGTAAATTCTCAGGGGATGGAGAAGAACTGAAATAACAACTGGCGCCAAGACCCGATCCACCTAGGGTGTCGTCACTGCTCTCTACAGTCCCTTGGCAGAGGTAGACAACGGAATTCTGCCTGGTCCTAAGATGAGACTCGTTCTTAGCTGGTGAAACTCCAAGTGTAATACTGGGGCAGAGTTAATGCTTCCCTGAAAAGAACAGGTAAATGATACTGCCATTTGATAAAAAGGCTGTCCTCACCATAACTTTGAAAGTTAGGATCTGGCATTCTGGAGAGAGGTGTGGCCCAGACAAACTGATAAGGGGATGTTCCACAAATCACTGAAATGACCTAAATGGCCTGGCGAGAGAGCAAACCAGGTTCAGGACAGTTTCTGAGAGAAACGAGAGAGGGGAGCTGACATAGGACAGGTAGAAAGATACCAGGTATGGTGGAGGACTCAACTGGCATTCACAACGTTGAATTTTTATTTTAAGATGTATGCAGTAGGCTGAGCCTAAGAGCAAAAAGGGGTTGATTGGGTCCAGGGTCCTGGGCCGAGAGGTGGAGAGAAGGCTAAGAGAAGTCTGGGGACAGCTGATGTGACAGATCAGGGCATCCGGGCTGCTTGGGAAGGAAGTGAAGCCAGAGCCATGCTGACTGGGAGAAAAGGGGAGAGAGAAGAACTTGAAATCAAGAGCTGGTTCCCAGGAGAAAGGGCTGGGGGCAGGCGTGGGAATACCTGCCCTTAAGTTTACAAGCTTATTCCATGTCCTGCTTGTGATTAAAAATGGGAGATAGGGGCGCCTGGGTGGCTCAGCTGGTTAAGCGTCTGCCTTCAGCTCAGGTCATGATCCTGGAGTCCCAGGATCGAGTCCCACATCGGGCTCCCTGCTCAGCAGGAAGTCTGCTTCTCCCTCTGACCCTCACCCCTCTCATGCTGTCTCTCTCTCTCTTTCTCTCTCTCTCTCTTTCTCTCGCTCTCAAAAATAAAATCTTCTTTAAAATTAAAAAACAAACAGGGGCGCGTGGGTGGTTCAGTCAGTTAAGTGGCTGCCTTCGGCTCAGGTCATGATCCCAGGGTCCTGGGATCGAGCCCCACATCGGGCTCTCTGCTCAGCGGGAAGCCTGCTTCTCCCTCTGCCTGCCACTTCCCCAGCTTGTGCTCTCTCTCTCTCTCTCTCTGTCAAATAAATAAGTAAAATAATTTTAAAAAATTAAAAACAAACAAAAATGGGAGATAGCCTGCAAAGTCTAAGTTTAAATTCGTATCTTTGATAAACAAGTTTAAGAGCTTAGTACAACTTTTTAAAAAAATGGAGAAGGGCAGCAATAGACAGTTACCTCCTAGAACAAATTCAGCTCTGAGCAAGGCCTGCTGACTCTCTTGACAATGGAATCTGCAAATCTAACAGGCCAAAATGATGGCAAATATCATCATTTCAAAATAGCTGAATATATGAATAAAAGCAAATTCAATGAATGCTTATGTGAAGATAAGCAAACGTATTTTCATACTCACAAAGAAGATGGATTAGACACTACATATATATTTTTTTCTGATGGTGTATCTTTTTATTTCAATATACGTTCAATGTCCTTTGAAAAAACCATAGTAAATGAGTTTTACTAAACCTGAAAATAACCACAACCTAGATCCTTGGAAGGTAAATTGTATTTAGGCTATTAAGACAAATTTGATTTGACATAATTTTTCAGCTTAAAATCTTGCTCAATGTGGTAAAGAGAGAAAGTGGGTAATTACAGCTTCCAACAAGCCCCAACTGGTTTCCAAAAAGAGGAAGTCAAGCTGAGAGACTCCAGCTTATTCTATTAAGCTGATTTAATTGGTGTCAAGAGAGATACCCAAGACCCCTTATGTTTTGTTCAAAGCATCTGTGTTCTCCATCATATGCTAAAGATACCGTCTCTGTGCTTGCAAAGGTGTTTAGGTCTAACAGATAATTTTAGCATCACATTCATTTCTCAGTGATTAAGGTCCTCAGCCCTAGCTGCATCTGGCAATTACCTGGGAAGTTTTTAAAATGTCAGTGCTTGGGCCCCAAATCCCAGAGGTTCTGAATCAACAGGTTTGAGATAGAGTCCAGATATCACTAGTTTTTAAGAGCTCTTCAGATGATTCTAATAGGCAGCCAGGCCTGAGAACAACTGCCTCTGGACAGTGATGGGGCTGTTTTGGCCTGAATTAGCTAGATAAACCTCTTCCCACTCTGGAGAACAGATCTAACCTCAATACATATTAATTACTTCTGGCTCTGTGTAGCTACAGTGATGATTAGGAATAAGTCTGAAAGAGAGTTTTGCCGGAGTTCTTACAAATGTAGAGTATGATTAGGACTTGCTTTTAACTCACTCATTCCCAGGAATCATCATGTTGCCTCCTATGCTTTGGTCACTACTGGAATAAGTCAATAGGCAACTTCAAGGTGATAAATGTGTCTTTCCGGGGCAGTGAACATCTATGGGCAGGAGCTTTCCATGGCAGCAGTTTAGTCCAGTGGAAAAAAAATTACGATAAACATTTACAAAAGGAAATAAAATGAATTAGAAGTTTATTGTATGCCAGGGGCTCTGTTAGCAGCTTAACATATATGTCTGTCTTTAATCTTTTTGACACCAACTAGGAAGTTACATTAACATTCCGATTTTAAGAAAAGAAAACCGAGTCTCAGCAAAATATACAGAGTTACACGATTGGTACACAACGGTATTAAGTTCAGATTCTAGAGCCTGAGCACTAACCATTGTGCTTTCCTAACAGCTAATTAGAACTTTTATATAACTTTTCCTTCATTGATTAAAAACACCTTTTCTTTAATCAGAGATTTATGCCTGGGTGTTGGATCACAAAACTTGTTCATCAGTTCCTCGCAAACTAAACGGCAAGCACCGGAAAAGAATTCTTCAAGGGTTGCGCATATAAAGGCACTGACAGATCAGGTCCCAGTCATTTCTAAAAAGGCAGAGTTGATTAATGGAGTCAGTGTGGAAAAGCTAAACAGAAATCAGAAGACCTGGCTGAAAAGTACCTGTCATGCCATCTCTCTTCCTAAGGTGGATCATGTTGGTAATCAATGGAGAATTACATGTAAAAATGCTTTGCATAAAACACTATGCAAACTACTGTTAATTTCAGCTTTTTCTCAAGCTTAAGCACTCTGCTGGCAAGTAACCAATGAATAATTTAATACCACAAAAATAATCAGGGTCGTCTCTTAGTAATAATTCTTCCTTTAAATTGCTTCTTCAATTTGACCCTGTTCTAATGCCTGAAATGATATCACAGAGCACATCAATAAGTCCAGAAAGAAAGACCACAGCAGGAGGGAAAGCATTCAGTTCCAAACTGTTGACTCTGATCAACATTGTAAATTCCTGTCTCACAGCTCACATATAAACACCAGACCAATGTGAGGTTTTCGTGCCAATGTCACGAAAGCAAAAGCTTAGAACATCTGACTTCCTGAATTAATAAAAATCATGATTTTTATAAAGTTGTAGATTAAGGAAACATACCCAATACCTTACATATGCCATTAATACAGACATTTCTGCTGTTGCCACCTTCAAAGCAAGGGGTACCATCAATGACAGCATCCAGCATTTTCTCGGAAAACTGGCCATCTATGGGTCGGCAGTAGAGCTCACAAGGACGTGCTGGAGTGAAAAAGAGACAAATCCTTGCAAGTTAGCTTTTTTAGCTCAGCACCCTTCCTGCAGGATTATTTTTGTACATACTACCCCCCAAGAGTCGTTTATCTGGAGGTTCCCATCTTTCACCTTTCCTGTGACACATGCTGAAAGGCAGGCTTTTTTTTTTTCTTTTTCCAGTTAAAGGGTTCTACAACAAATTAAATGCAGAAGATTGCTTTAAAATGCTATGCCCTTTGTTATGAATGATGAGACCTTTCAATCAAACACTGAACTGTGCTTCTAAAAAGAAGGTGCGGAGCCTCTGGCGTTAACCTAGAAATGAGGTAAAAGCAACCACAGGACTCCAGACAAGCATGGCGCCTGCCCACCATTTGCTGCAAAGTAAGTAGACCTCTAGGGAAGAGGCAGTCCCCTCCCACGGGGCCCGGTCTCTACGAACACTGCCGCCACTATCATGACCCCACCGCCAACGAACATTTTCCTTTACTCTCCTCAAGTCCAAGAAGTCCTTGGACACAGATTTACAAACACAGAGAAACAGAAAGCCTGATTTTTTGCTGAAGCTGAAGCCAACGTGCTTACCGTAATGGTCTATCCCATTATGCTGGGTCCTACAATGAATATATTTTAGGGTTCAATTTTCTATTCCCTTGTGAATGAGGATGGGGTGATTTCCAGCACAGGAACTGTTCTAAAGATTTACTTAATAAAATAGTACCTATACATAGGTAAATACAGTAACCAGAAAGATAACTTTGAAAGCATAAATTGCCTTCAAAATTTTAATAGGCAATACTGTGTATGATATGAAGAATTCATATAGTAATTTTCTTGTGAATGTTACATCTTGGTTTTTTTTTTTTAATTGAAAAACTTGAGAATGTCTTTTTCAGAAAGGTCTTTCTTGGGGGGAATCTCTTTGGATCTGTTTATTGAGGAAGGACTTGAGTTTCTGGGGGGTGTGACCAGCTGAGAGTTCAATGAGACCAGCCATCGGCCATATGCCATGGACCCACCCAGTGTGGATGCTAATACAAATACCCAGCTAACACAAAGCCAGAGTGCTCAACCCTAGGTATGGCTGCTCAAGAATGCAAGATCCATTTGGTAAAGAAATAAAAGTATAAAACACAAACATAACTAAGAGCAGAAGTTCCGGGCAAACTTGAGGCAGAGGTCAAGAGCATCTGTTTAAAGCTTAAAGGACAAAGGTAAAAGCAAAGAAAGCATACTGACTGATGTTATATAAAGAGCAGTGGATAAGTTGTCTGAGGAATTGAACAAAGTCAAAATGAGTTGGAGAGATCACAGCACAAAGCACCAATGGAAAAGGACCAGAAGACCCAGGGACAAAGCAAGATTTGGGATTATTGCAAACCTTTATTCCTGGCAGTGTGATTAGCTCTGTCACTGCCTGAACCAGAGCAGAAGGACTGAGAGGGAGCCCCCTGGGTGCAGCTCTGCTCTCCTGGAGATGGGATCACCCATCCAGGTGTGCTGAGTCTGGGGAATCATTTCATGAAACACTGGGCTATTAAGTAGAAGGATGGAGGCAGGGGAAACACTGTTAAATAAGATTTTGATTTGAGCTTTAGAATTTGGATTTGAGATTTTGTATTTGGACACATAAAGCACAAAGAGAAAGCAGCTCTGAGTAATTCTGGAGCTTTTCTAAGGAGTTATCTGTTCTAGCCTGCTGGGAAGGGCTGGGACTAGAAGTGCCAAGGGTGTGAAATTTAAGATGGCGCTCACTCTCAGGGGTTGTATAAATGGGTCCTCCTAGCAAGGAAATCCCCATCCAATGGCAAGTGTTGTACTGAATTCCAGACTGGTGGAGTTCCAATGTTTGCCTTAGTTTTACTGCCTCTGGGCTTGTACTATTTGACTCACTCCCTGAAGGAAAAAACTATCCAGAGACTTTCACTGGTCTTGTTTATATGGTGAGTTAAGAGGAATTTTGCTTAATAAAATAACAGCCAATATATCATTTGCACACTCTTTCCCAGATCTTGTTGTGCTTCACAGTAGTGATCTCTCATTTTAACAATCACAACCCCCCTATGGTGTTAGTTCTTTTATTATCACCATTTCATAGATAAGGCATAGAAAAATGAAGTTTCCTGAGATCTCATAGTGTGAGTGGCAGAGTTAAACCTGGTGCTTTAGCTTAGAGCCCACTCTACTAACCCCTAACCTACAGGCACAGAATTTTCTTTAACAGAAGCTCTCTGAAGTATCCACTCTTTAGGCTATTAGGCAATGCATTTATTTACAGATCATATCTGAGGTGCAAACTTGGTAGAATTCCAGTGGAACTCCATTTTAATATTCTCTCACAGGGCTTAAATACAGAGAATCACCAGCCTCTGGAGACACTGATTTCTACAGAGAGTGTATGTAAAATTTTAGCTCATGAAAGTCCAATATTTCCGTGAGAAAGTTACTGAAGCTGTGACTCAGTTTCTTCATCTGAAAAACGGGGATAATAATACCTACCTGGCAATGCAATTGGTGAGGGTTAAGAGATCGTATGTTGAGCACTCTGCATGGGGTCTGGTATAACGATAAGTGCTTGACAAATGGCAGTTATGATTGTTGTTTTCACCTCTTTACCATGAACTCTAGATGAATTCTAAAGGTCTTGGGGTCGCCCCACCATGCTATGCTTCTATCATTCCAATCTTCTCCCACAGCAGCCAAAAGACACAAATTTTGTAATGCTGGCTCAGTTCTCCTTCCCACACAGACAAACCTTTCCTGAAATAGCCTCTTCTCCTTCAGATTATTCTGTTAACACCACTTCTAATCAGTTCTACACTAAATCCAGACTTTGTGTTACTATTTCCTGAACAATTTCTGTCTTGTCAGTTTAGCATAAAAAATTCTAGATCCCCGCTAGGTCAGCAGGTGGTTCCATGACTTTCCTTTACTGCCACTCTGGACCCGGTTCAAAGATGTTCTGCTCATACAGTAACTACTGAGGTCCTCACAGCTCTATGCTTTCAAGACTATGGATTTTACAAGCTCCTCTCAGCCAAGCTGCAATGTCCTCAAGGACACTTAGGTCCTCTGTGCATTGACCGGCCACTGTTGGCCAGCTCAGCATGTGAAGGAGGAGCCATAAGACACGCTTGTTGAGGACTCAACCACACAGTAGAAGTGAGAATAAGCACAGTCCGGGGGATTCTGCTTCACACAGCTTGAACATCAGATCCCCAGGGATTCCAGTCTAGGCCCCAACCCCTACATCTTACCCAAGGCCTCCTCGGTCTCTAGTCTGAGCAGTAGGCTTGTCAGAGAATGATATTAAAACCTCTAATGAGGTATCTGACACAGGGTGGTTGTTTAGATGTGGCAAGTTATTACCATTAACCTTTCCCAATGAATACTAGCAGGCCGTTACCCCTAGAAAAGGCTCTTAACGCATGTTTACTAATTAACAGACATGACCGAGGTCAACACTGTTAGGGAGAAAATTTGGGACCAAGTGGCAAAGAGATCATCTCGATCCAGAGAGAGAATCAACTCAGTCATAAAACTGAACCTTGACCTTAGTGACAGAAGTCAAGGGTGTTCACTGCAGCAATTAAAGGTTTATCCAGAGAGAAAAGGACAGATCTTGCACTTACATAATGTTGTTTAGTTTATTCACAGACTCAGTATGCAGTCACTACAAGGAATGAAGTAAACTGTAAAGTTATGACATTCTGCTAATGAATAAAGAAAGCTGCAAGATGGGCGAGGTATGATTTCATTTGTGTGCCAACTAAAACCTGCTGTTAACAATGGTTGCCTCTAAGGAATAAGTTACGCATGGTGCAATAATAATTTATTTTTATTCCATTCTATTATGTACACTTGCATGTGTTTTAAAGAAACATACATTCCTTTTAAAAATAATGTCTTAGCCATCAGACAATTGTGTGACAATTATCACACGGTTTCACCTATTTGTGGAGCACAAGGAATAGCAGGGAGGACATTAGGAGAAGGAAGGGAACATGAAGGGGGGGAATCGGAGGGAGAGATGAACCATGAGAGACTGTGGACTCCGGGAAACAGACTGAGCGTTTCAGAGGGGAGCGGGGTGGGGAGATGGGTTAGCTCGGTGATGGATATTAAGGAAGGCCACGTATTGCAATGAGCACTGGGTGTTATACGCAAACAATGAATCATGGATCACTACCAGAAACTAATGATGTAAAGTATGGTGACTAACATAACATAATAAAAAAAAATAATGTCTTGGCTATCCAACAAGAACACTGGAAAGGTCTCCTTTCTCCTATATAATAACACATCTCCACGAAGAGAGGCCCTCAATTTAGGACTTCTTTTCATTTTGCTTATGTAACACATGACTAATGCATCCTTCAAGGTCAGACAGGTTAGTTCAAGTCTACTTCATGCAAGAAACACAAATTTCTACCGAATCTAAGCACAGTGGTCCATGGAGTCTTAGGAATAATCTAATAAAGAATCTCCTCTGGCCTTTGTCTTCCATGGTGCTTTGGATATGTCATTAGGTTGGCCTAGGACACGGGCCTCTGCAGAAGGAGACAGGAGTAGCAATAGATGCTCTTAGCTCTCCATGGTCATCGTGAGTATCAGAGAGTCTGTCCCAACCTCATGGATTTCAGAACATCCACAGAGTTGAGTATTTTCACTGTCTCAGATTTATTCATCTGCCCTGACACGCCCTTTGGATCATAAGATTTTTTTTTTCTCTGCCTCTCAAGAGCATTCAAATCCATTTATAATTCAGCTAAGGGAAGAGCCTCAGACTCATTTACTGGTGAACTCTCAGCCTCACACTGATTAATCCTCTCCAAGGAAGCTCAGATAACTGAATGAACTTACTGAATCAAAGGTGGCATTTTCAGTTCTGGTGAAACAGGATGGCTCAAGATTTTCAGATAATGATTTTAAGAAGTGGTCATTAGAAGCCAAAGATAAAACTTGGTAAGAAGGGAAAAAGTATTTCTTAGGTAAAGGAAAACTTT